GACATGGTTTGGAAGGACTGTTGCATGTGAGGATGAGGGGATACTGATGAGAAAGGTTTTTTCCAGTTGGACTGCTCCCTGTGCACCTCTGGCTGCCCCTGTCTCCAGTGATGCAATAGGGGCAGGTGGGTGGGACAGACTATTTCACTTCTACATGTGCAGATTATGTATGTGCTCTTTTTATTATTTTTTTATTGACTAAGGAAAAGGGAAACGCACGCAACCATGAAGAAAGCTGAAAGGAAAAGCAGAAACAAGTGTAGCAAGGGCTTCTGGACAAACTGTCATGACACAACGAATACAAAGATGACTGCATTAGAATATGAATCCAGGGCCTTTGGCACTCTTGGCACTTAAAAAGCCCCTAAAGTCAAATGTCAACTATTATGTGCCATCAGTGGTGACACAGGGTCACGGAGCAGGACAGATGAGGTCGGCAATGGTACTCACCCCGCTCTCCACATGTACCATTTAGCGTTCCCTCAGTGTGCAAAAAGGACTAGCCACCAATGCGTAGAAGAGAGGCTTTGCAATGACAGCAACATCTATCCAATCCTGTTGCATCTGCTTTTTCTTGTAAAAGATTAAGCCCTGTGTACGATATTCAATTAGATGAGGAGATTCAATAATTGCATAGACATATTCAGCTAATGATGTGATATTTTACATAATATGTGACACATGCATTAACTATGGGAACATTAAGAGATGTACCTCATTTCCTCCTATTAACTTTCAAACAGGCACAAATAAAAAACACAGGCTGCATGCTGAATGTATAAAATGCTTCAGTTGTTTGCTGTTAAACCAGCTCTTTAATTACCTGAAGTATGTTTTAATTGTCACATGTTCTACTCTTAATATTAGTTAACGCTTTAGCAGCTCTCCAAGTGAGATTGATTGGGTAAATCAGTCAAAATTACGGGGAAACAGGAGGCCTGCCAATCAACAATGTGTTGGGGTGTGTGTATTTTTAATGTGCATGTAGCTGGGGACGAGCCAATGCATGAGCTTCTCTACGTGTTTGCTGGTTTGTGTGTGTGTATTGAACCGTGTGTGTGTGTGTGTGTGTGTGTGTGTAGGCACTGTATATAGAGCTGACAGCTGGGCTTGTTCAAAAGGCTTACTGAGCATTCTGCCGTTTTGGGAAGCAACAAGCACAGAGTCTATCTGAACAGGGATCTAAAACCTCTGTCAACAGCGCAGTACAACTGGTGTAAACAGCCGCTGAATCAACATTCGATCATTCACATACCAATAGAGAAAAAAATATGTATACTTTATTCTTATGTGCTGTAGGAAGAGAGATAGGAAAGATGACAAAAAGAGAGAACTATCGATCACAGGTTAAAAAGTGAGTGTTAAAAAAGACTTGCTGTAAGAGTTGGGATGGGAAGACAAGGGAAATGTTTGTGTATGTATTTGACTTTGTTGATAGACTTAGTATGTATGCAGGTATTAGATTTCCTCTTGGAATTTCTGCATGTGCATATCAGTTTCCAATGTGTGACACCATACTTTGAATGTGTAGACATGTGTGTCAGTCCATCAGCATGTCGGCGTCACAGCCCTTCACTAAGTCCCAGATTAACAGTGACAGGCAGAGATCCCTCTAATTATCTCTTCCTGGACCACATGCAAATGGCAGAGCCAAGTTGAGAGTGACGATGGTTGAGACTGGTTCAGCGCCACCGATGGGCTAATGAGCCTGACGACAGGATACAACCTTGTGATGTACCATCAAAACAAGCACTTATTGTTTCACTGAGGACACACAGTCATTAAGATTTATGCATTTAACAATCCTTTCTGGGAGGACTTATGTCTGACTATGAGGCAATATGATGTTAGGCTATTGACATATTTGGCACTGAATTTTCTCTTTGTTAATGTTCTCACATTAACACTATGAAAAGTATAGTAAAACTCCAAAAATGTATATTTAATATTGATAATTAGTTTAAAAGGATGACATTTCCACATTCTACAAGTTAAACATCCCAATTCAGTGTTGCTCCCGAAGAGTCTGAGTAAAAATGGCACATGGAATGGTAAAAAGAGAAGAAGAAACGTACCATTGTAAAGTAGAACAGACGGTCATTAACTGGCTCTTAACAATGGGCGGCTGCAGTCAGTTAAAACTTCTTCTCAGTATATCAGCAGGAAACATGGCAACAGTGTCAAAGAGTCCACTATCTCTTGAACAGAATCCCAGTCTATTTAGACTTGGTGACAAAACTGATTCCAGGGGCAAAATATGGCATTATTGTGTTGTAACAAGTCACTAAAATAAACACCCGGTGGACATCTTCAAGTTGAAAGGAAAAAAGTTTCTCTGAAGCCACCAAAGTCAGCTGTAGCAATGCAACAGAAAACTGCAAAAACTTTGCATATAAACTCAGAAAGCATCACTGTGTCTGTCCCACAACACTGAGTTTAAAGTACAGTACAAATATTTTACGGTCATGCCCAATGCTTAACTTAATATGTTGTATAGAGATACATATATTGAAAAGTTTCAAATGTTGTGCCAGCATAATGCAAAGAGATAATTCCAGTGAACAGGTGACCCACTCGGGGTGTAACCTCTCTCTCTCACCTAAAGTTTGATGGGCTCTATCTCTGGGATCTTGAATTTGACTTAGACAAGTATAGAAAATAGTTGGACCAGCCCGTTCAAATTTACAAGATGTCCTCCCTTCCTGGTCAAACACATTTTTAAATTTTCATGCTTAAAGAAAATATGCCATGTAAAATGTAGCTTTGCCAACAATAAATGGCTCGATAAGCTCAAGTGATCTTGCAAGACATAATATAGTTTTATGAGGTTCCATTTGCTGGTGTCATCCGCAAATTCTGGCAATATAACGAGAGAAATTCCCTCGTTTCGACACAATTATCCACGGTGAAGACAAAAGCATTCCTTCCTATTGTTGTGTGGAATACTGTCTTTATTTGTGGCATCAAATACCCCAGTGTATTTCAGGAGCCATGGGACTTGCCATTTTTAATCAAGAACGGGTGGCTTTGTCTTATCCCTGCTCCATCCAGCATCTCAATCCATCCTTGGAGGGGTTTGCAGTAGATTATGTAGCATTTTCATTTAGCTGCAGCATTAGAATCACTCCCACTATTTATCCAACCAAGGTTTCAAGTTGGAACAGTCACAATGGTTGCTATTTTAAGAGAAGAATTTCAGAGGTCAGGAGCTTGAAATTGACAATGGACAACTTCAAGTTCCTGATTATTCTGTGGAGAGCATTTTTTGTGGTATAAGCCCTAGAAAAACTTTTTTTTTAACAACTGTGACATCTTGGACATCTGAATGGAAATGGAAAAAAGATGGCATACATATGTTAGTATATATACCCAGTAAGGCACTGGAAACATCACAATACACTAACAATTATCTTCAATGATTCAACCTTTAAACACAACAAAACGTCCTGTTCTTTTGTCTTTACAAAAGAACAGACACTTGGAAAAAGGTGTTCCACTGTGCTAAAACCACACCGAGTAAATAGCTGCGCCGTCATGACTGATGTCTTGTGTTTCCACAATGGTTTGCCCATGACCACTCTCCAAGAAGATGGATACGCCTCGACCCTTGAGATCGTTTTTAGGGGGACAAGACAAATATTTCAGATGTATCATACTGGGGCATCATGCTGGAGGTGAGAGGAGGCAACGGGAGAGTGAAAGACAAATACAATAGAGGGGAAAGAGAGTGGGGTGGGGAGGAAAGTGCAGCCTGCCTGCCTGGCTGACAGTTGACTCTGTTGGATGTGACTTTCACAGTCTGCTGGCGGTTTGTGTGGAAGCCATCACATCTGTGACTGGCCGTTTGATTAATGAGCCTCTCAGCTTGTCTGTGCAGTTTGAGGAGGGGCCACGGCCTTATCCCAGGCATCACTGATTTATTCGCCTTTGGAGCAAACCACCAAGTATAACACACAGTAAATTGTAATGGTGAACATTCACACACATACAGGCAGACACATGTACAATCCTCCGTGATTATCTTACAGTATACAGGTTGGTCCAGTACGTACACGCACACACGCACACACACTCGCACGCACACACACTCACACTCACACACACACTCACACATACACACAGGAAGGGATGGAAAGAGACTGATTCACACAAGTTCGTCCCTCTCCTCCGCCACCTGCTTACGGCTAATGAAAACCTCAATGTGTCAGTGCTGTCCAAGGGTAGCGAAGACAAAACACGGCATGTATAACCAAGCAGACAAAAGATGTATTCTGTCTCCACCAACACAAACTCCCATCCCTGGCTGTCAGTCAGGGGACGGGACACACAAGGGGATCGACGAGAGAAGAAAGAGGCCCTTCCTCAATGACAAATCACACTCTCCTGATTTTCAAAAGTGACAAGTCTTTTGAATTTGTGGCCGCACAAGATAGAGAGCCCTACGATGGCATGAGAACATCTTTTCTTATTTTTTCTGGCCGTGGCAGCCATGAAATGTCACTCCGGCTAACCTTGAAGCTCTTTTCTCATGTGTTGTTAATGTTTCCAAGGCTAAGGCAACCAACTGCTCAGAATTGTATAGTAACACTGCCTTTTAACTCAGACAAATGACTCCGGCAATACTTTCAGGTACATAAACGTGCATTAGTGTGTGCATTCCCTAACAAAGGCTTCATACACATGTATATGACGAACACAAAGTCTTACCAGCCCCAAGCACACATTCAAACATTCCCTGAAGCGTAAAGTAAGACCATTAATTCAGACACACTCAGATCCAACTTCTCCCCAGGTTGATCAGGGTCCATGGAGGAAGATGAACATTCTGACATATTTGTTTTTATTTTATTCCCATAGAAAAAAGCCCACCATATGGCACCGCCCAAGAACAGATGGCAATTGCCCACTTCTTGAAAGCACAAGCGTCTATCGCTGCAATTTAAGGAGCTGCTCAAGCAAGCGAATGCCACAGACTGGCATTTTTCCACAAACTGCTATTGTTATGGACCTGAGGGGTAAAAAAAACAAACAAAATGAAAATATAGAGGAAATGTCTCAGTATTCTGCAGTTACATTGTAACTTACAATAAGAAGAGAATCTACGGGTCACTGCTACTAACACCTACTTACTCTTTTTATGGAATCATGTTGAAATTGAGGATCATTATTCATTACCTTCTATTTATTGACAGCCAGTGAAGTAATCCAACTGTCCCATTAGGGTTTCAAGATAGGGTATTGGTAGCAGTACAACCAGTAGATCTAAGCTTGGATGTCCTTGGATGATCAGAGGTCCATATGATGGAGTGGAAAAGTGCCCTGTGACACATGAGGTTTCATCCCTCATAGCTGGCTACCCTCTTATCAACCAGGTCAGAGGACCTTCTCTGACATAAAGGCACAGGAAAATGGTCTCAAGAAGTCACCTTGGCAGATGAGAGTTAAAATGGGAGTTTTGACTCTTAACAGTAATCCACACTTTTTCTAACACTTTTTTTTTCTTCAGATGAAAAAGAAAATGACATAAAAGACTTTTGCATTTAAAGGCTTTTTTAAATTACCGAAAAAAAAGACGGGTCAGAACTTTAGGTCAATGAGTGAAGCATGGTGCACACATTTCAGTCTTTAGATCATGGCAGTCAACATAAACACTCCATGTACAAGATGGAATGTCAAGTGCGTCATTGATCTATGTATGCAACATGTCATTTTTGCATTTCACAAAAGGATTTTTAAAAAGAAAATTCTACTTGACATAAGAGGCAAATGAAGTAAGTGAAGAAATATGTCTCAGGCTGACGTGAAACAGAAATGTACTTGTGAATTCTGCCTACACATCATGACTTTTGAGTAGTGTATGATGTGGGTTATCTCTCCTTTCCCAATGTCAACTGTACTTATCTGTCAATTAAGCTAACTAACATCATTTAAGCAGAGAAAAATAAGATGGAAGTTTTTCAGAGAGCAAATGTGTAAAAGGAGAAGGGAACACAAAATCCAACATACTAAGACAAAAATATTCAACATGAAGTCAATGTTCTATATCAAATCATTTGTGGGCTTAGCTGATAATGATTCACCCGTTCTGTCTGTCAACCCTAAGTCAGCAATCATCTTGATTTCTCTAAGTCAGTCACTCCATCATCCAAGTTCCACTTCATTTTTGAGTCTTGTCATTCATCAAAGGTGGTCAACAACAAACAGCCTCAGAGCCATGCAGTTCAAATATGATTTAGGTTGTCACTAAAGCTGTGAACTTTTCCATAAATCACGACATCTTGTGTACCAATGTGAAAGTACCCAAAGGTGCCAGAACAAACTGATTCAGTAAAGAAATGGGCAAAAACGTTAGCTCAAACCAAACCTACCCATCCACCAGTTGAAACTCTAAAATCACCTGGAAACCAGGTCAGACGGTTAGCCATTCAACCATGGGGGTCCTTTGGCATTAATCAGTCTCAATTCTGCTGAAAAGCTCAACCTGCACATGATGGATGAGCCATCATGCTGAGGGAACTGAAGTGACAGGTGACAAAGAAGGACACATACACCTGTATAAATCCAGTCTCCCTTCTGTCTGGCTTCAATGTTACATTGTCAAGGTAGTGAAAGTTTATGTATATATGTGTGTGACCGTGTGTGTGTTTTAATGTGTAGAGACACAAGTGTCTCAACATGTGTCCTGTTTTGCTAATGAAGTCATCTGAACAGTGATTTAACGGCCCTGGTTTAAAAGCCTACTGCCCTTAACTCATAGCCCTGTTCCATTAGAATGTGATATAAACCCAGGGCACAATAACTGTCTTGCCACTATAACAATATATTGGAGGCTAACTCACAAAGCCAAGGGAGCAAATAAATAAAAAAAAGCTGTGTACAGGGAAAGGAAGTCATTCAAGGACACTAAAAGTCATATGATGGGAAAAGGAAAAGTGGATTTCACAAAGTCAGACTGATATGTGTAAGATAGTGCATATGAAGTTTGTTCAGAAACAGGAGATGACAAGATTAATTGTTGCAGACCCGTAGTGAAAACAGTCAAGGGCACTTCAGCCTGTGGTTATACGGAGAGTATTAAACTTCAATGCTCTAACAAATGGATCGGTGTATGCTCATACTGTGAATGGTGTTCTCCAGCTTGGGAGAAAGTTTTGTGTCACATGTGGATCTGAGAAAAAATGGACTGCTTACATGTTGCTAGCCGTAAAACTAACTTCCTTCCGTCTGTGAGTGACTCAGGCAAAACCAAAGCCACTCTCCAAATCCCCATGAAATCTGCTCCTCTGCCCCAACAAAGAAAGGCTAATGAGGAAAATGACAGAATCTAAGACACCCTGATACTGTGAGATTAGGCTGAATTATACAACCCACTCCCACTCTTCTTCATTTTATTTTTGGATTTCTCATCAGATTTGACTTCGCTTTCTTTCCATGTCACTCATAATCTCAAACAGCAAGTCCAATCTCACACTCTCTCTGTCTCTCCCAAGCTTGCTTAAAAATTCACCTCATTCTGTTTCTGTTCGGGAAAGTCCAAACCCTAATTTGGCTCAGTCAAACAATGACAGTATCTGTTTTAACATGCAAAAACATGGCATATAAGGGGAGGGAGAATGAAATATGTGCATGTGGGAAGAGTGGGTGGAGGCAAGACGGCAAAAACGCTCGTCACAGTGCTGCAGAGCTGCGCACTTCACCCTTATTAGGCCTGTGTCCTTGGCAGATGCAGAGCTTGCCCTTTGCTAGATAGGTGTGTGTGTGTGTTAAAATGGCAGTGATTTAGAATGGATTGGGCGTAGGTGTGGAGACAAGGTGCAGTAGCCCCATAGCTCCCTGATAGCTGGCAGCGTGACAGCTGTGAATGGAGAACAGGTAACAGCCTGAAGTATTGCAATCTAATATGTGTCACATACCTGCATAAATATTTATGCCTGTTGCAGAGCAGGGCAAGAAGGGAGGGTGAGGGGTGGGAGGTGAGGATGGGACAGGAGGGGCCATCTTAGTGAAAGATTTCAATCAGGTGACACAAAGATCTGAGCCAGTCAGCCTTAATCCATCATCAGTCAAACACGGACCAGTTGTGACTTTTCAAAGTGAGCTCTCATCAACCACAGTTAGGTTTTTCATGTAATTGTCAACTATGCATATACTCTTCCGAACAAATATCAGAATTAAAAAAAATAAAAAATAAAAGAAATCAGCATGTTGTAGTTAACTCGGTTACGCTCAAAGTATGTCTAAAGAGTGGTGTTTTGATGGTAAAATTAAATAAGCTTTATGGAAGCATTTTGGCTTCTGTGGGTCTGCCAATTAATAATAGTACACAAATATGATTTTTTTTTAATGCTAAGTTATGTAAAAACACATATGCACCAAAAGTCTTGATTACAATAGTGTCAAATAATGTGATGCTTTGACCAAAACAATTTTTGTAATGATTTTTGCCTTAAATCAGCAGCCCTTAATCCTTTCACTAAAAAAGGTAATACACACATTACACACATATAATAACACACCCAGAATCCCTTTCACAACACTGCCTTCATAAAGAAAGCCACAGTAGTTGACATAAATGTCTGTAAGACTTATTAAAAAAAAGACTTGAACTTTTGATCTTCGTAAGGTTGGAGGCCCTAATTGAAACGAAAAAAACAAACAAACTTGTAGAGTAAAAAATTTGATATTTTTACCTGTTGGCCAGCAGACTTTTGAAGGTGATCTGACTCATACCCTCATAAGCTGGCAGCAGCCTTGACCAGTCCCATGCCCAATCAACCACGGTGCTCTGTTGATGTATGAGGAAAGGGTATTGGTAGTTATTAATCAGGGTTAATACCATCAGTGCATTACCGCTCCAGCTGGGACCCACTAAGAAAGGAGGAGGGGGGTCTCCAACACAGGCCACCGACATCAGGCGATCAATCATGTCCGCACAAGAAGATTTTTATTCCAATAAGACAGCAATTAATTTATAAATCCATTTGGAGGGATGTAGCCATCATTTATAGAAAGATAAATCAATTTTTGGAGCCGGTCGTTACTCTTCTTGCAATGTCTTATTCTTTCCATCTTCAGTGGAACCATGCCAGCCCATCTCTTTCTCCATCTCCTTCTCTTCCATACTCTTTCTTAAAAATGTACACACACTCACTCACGTGGACAAACATACTTGGCACTATCAGCACACTGGCAAAAGAAATAAAAATCAAATTACTTTGATTACAAAAATGTCCCTCTTAACTCCAGCAGTTGTATTGATAAAAGGAGGAGAACTCTACTTCTTCCACACATTCTTTCATCCTTCCATTTCTTTTGTTTTTTTCCCGATAGGTGATTGATGGGTGTAACTTTTTTTCTCCTCCCTCCATTTTATTTGACAAACAACACAGCCACCTGAAGCGGAGAAGGCATTTTAATCATTCTCTTAATAGGGTGTTTCTATGCAAAGCTATGCAGCCTCATGCGATAAGCTGAAAATAGGCCAGGTTTTAGGATTAAAATGTGTTTGTTCTTTAAAAACAAAAGCAACCAGTTTAGCTGCATTATAATGGATGACATACATTTAGACATACACAATCCATTCTTTAACAGTCATACACCGTAGCACAGGACAACCATACACTTATTTATTGTTTTGCGTGACAACTCTCACTTGATAGAGTGAGAGAAGGAAAACTAAAGCTACCTGTAGCAACACTTCAAGGGGGAAAAAATCTAACAATTAACTGAACATTACGGTGGCACTCCTGGGGATAGGTTTGCGATAAGAGAGAATGTGGTTCAAAGCCCCAAAGAAGTGAACTTTAAGATTGCACTCTCTTTAACATGACTCATTTCTTCATAAAAAAGAAAACTTCTGTCATCTTTTCACCTTTTCAGCATTCTTTTCTTCCTCCCAGCCAAGTTTCTGCTTGGAAAAGGCAGAAACCTCTGGGAAACACAAAAGCCAAGCCCCAGAAAGACTTCACAACTTCAGAGACTGCTGCTCTACCCAGCTCACTAGAGACCCAAAACAGCTCCTAACCTTCAACATTAAGCAGCTAGCCTTGGTTAAAGTTTAAATGACACCACACTACACGCAAGAAGCAAACCCACACTCTGTAAAAGTTGGAAAATGTTAAGCTAATTTTAACAATTACAAGCAGCAGCACAATTTTTAGAAGAAAGTTGAATATAAATAAAATAAGAAGGAAAAACAAATACATTTTTGTGATCATATAAACTATATTGATGAGCTAAGAAAGTAAAACAAACCTGATCCAACTTCCTCTTGCCAATGTGGTCAAACTGAAGAAGAGGGTTGAAAGAGGCAGGTTCAGATGGACTCCCTGAACCAACATCAAAGTTCACCAAGATAGGAAGTTCCTTTGGAAGGTCTGTGCCTCCGTTCAGCTTAGACATCAACAGTTCCTGCACAGGAGAGAGGTATGTCACGCCTGGTATCACTGACGAAAGATATGTTGGAAAGATTGACGCTTTACAATCAAGACCACTAGAAAGCAAAGTCCACGAAAGTAAAAAAAAAAAAAAAAAAATTGCATGAAGGCTAAACTAACATCAATCAAAGTCAAGCACAATGGGACATATTGAATGACAATCAGCATATAGCTCACTTATGTTTGGAGCATTGATAAACAAAGTGTATTTACTAATGTCAACACTTAAAATGTTTACTTCTGTAACCTTAGCCATGCTTCATTAGTGTAGGTCTCTTTCAGGAAGTACAGTATAAAGTAATTAGTCTGTGAGCGGTTTGTGAATTAAGGTGTATATCAGCATCTTAGTAGGATTTTAGTATACACCCATCCATCAGCTTGACATGGCCTCTGAACTTCCTCTCCCTCAACCTCACCAGCAGCCCATTTTGTCCCTCGTCTGCACGTTCTTACTCGACCTTGGTTCAGAAGAGATGCTGGAGCTGCCAGAAAGGCAACTCAGACCACCCCATGGAATCCTATGCAGTCTTTCTCAAAGTGCTCTCAATCATATCAACAGTTTCTAGAGTGTGTTCCTTCATGCTGGGTCCTAATGGAAGGGACTTCTCCTATAACAATTGTTTGAGTGCCAATAAGACTGAGGAAATCCATATCTCCCTCTACACGGTCATATTCCGCACTTTAAGTATGATGACTACTGAAGGTTCTCCACTCCCCATGATAGAGTGCATGAAACACACTCCAACAAATTTCTGGTTATCAATATGTATCACAGGTACATCATTGCTATATTAGAGTGGAATATCCATGCAAGAGGGATTCTTGGATGATAAGTAATCAAGCTTTATATCACTTCAAAGATAAGTCTGTAAATATTTCAAGACCAAAATGAGTGAAATCAATAACAAAAGATTGCTATTATCATTTCAAATTCATGTTTAGGTCTTTATATCTCTGGCAATGTTGTTTATTTATATTAAACAACGTTTATTTATCTTATCAATAATATTCAGTAGGTTAGACATGATGTGCTTTAAAATAGAGCAAATTTATATTTACACCTTTTTGAGTTAAATAACCTGAAATGCTTGTGTGTTTTGAGTGTTTTTACAGGTAACAGTACTAAATACTACCTTGGAAGGATTACCCTGTAAGTATGTTCATAAAACTTAAAACCATTGTTTTTCTCTTTTAAAGCTGTTACTCATTTCTTGTTTTTTTTAGTAATCAAAATCAGAGGAGTTCCTTTTCCAACTGATTACTGAGGATACAACACATCCCCTTCACTTTAATCATCATTTCAACTGACTGAAATAAACTCAGACACTTTCTGCTGTACAGCTACAATCAGTTTAGCTCAGCTTTCTAAGTAGATAAATCAAATAAAAACTGTATTTCTTCACTCAAATCGACTCCAATGGGCTTTTTGAATGTTGCATCTCCTGACTTTCATTTACTCTGAGATATCACTGTGGCTTTGCACCTTTGGGGTCATCCACACAGGAGAGGATCAGAGAAAGCAGACTGCACACAGGCAACACCCCTCTTCCTTCTATCTCTCCCTCTTGAGCAGCCTGCGGCCTCAGGCCAGCAGTCACCTAATTGCTGGGGAGAGCAAGTGCTTCCCTACCTCATTGCCTTGAATGATGTGATAGATCTGCCTCAGGTAGTTGCTGCCACCTGCTTTGTGGCAGACCTCCAGCAGCATCAGGCCTATTTTCTGCTCAGTCAGTTCAGTCGCAGCAACTCTTCTCTCAGCTCCCTGCTCAAAAACACTGACAGAGAAACAGAGGTTGGAATAAGACAAGATGTGAAAGGGAACACCAAGACAAAATGTATGGAGAACTGAGGAAACATGAAGCCGCTCTTCAGGAGATCTTATATCCCATTCTAAACAACAGTGCAAAAGAAGTCCATAAGATAAAGTTAGACCAAAAAGTTAGAGTTTCATGTAGTTCAGAAGATTATCTGAATAAGTATTTCACACTTATTCACTTTCTAAACAATTCATTCACTCCAGTTGAATGTGCAAACTTAAACTATCTTTTCTGAGATGAAAACTCTAATCAGAAGTCCACAGAAGTGAAAATAAGTGAGAAATGAAGATACAAAGTTTCATAATATTCACTGTTTTTATAACAATTCATGAGACAAAAACAAAACCACATTATTTCCAAAGGATGCTGAAACTCTCAAAATGATTGGTGTGGTGTTTTTAAGCGTGTGTGTGTGTGTGTAAGTGTAATTGTATGTCAAGGTCACAGTGCATGTAGAGTCCCCCAACCCTTGAAGGGAGCGCATCATTTCCTGCCCTTCCTGTATGGATGGGTATCACACTACCGTCCATCAAATCTTCTCATTCACATACACTTCCTGTCATTGTTCCCTCTCTCTTCCTCTTTCCCTCTTCCCCTTTGTAATTATAAGGTGGCAGAAGCTGTGTCGCCTGTCAGCGAGCCATTGGCTGTTTGACATTGAGGGTGGCAAAAGAAGAGGAGTCACATCCCGTCCACATACATCGCCTCATTCTTTTGCCTGGCGGCCTGGCAGGGCTGTTGTCGGCGACGGTGGCTGTGCATCCATGTCAGCACCTGCGCTGTATCCTTTCCTGTCCATCACTGTGCAGGTGAAGCAGATGATTGGATTCAGTCAGCAGGGTGATTAATGAGGGCCCCTCCGGATTTGGGACAGCCTATCAATCATGTCATTAGGGCCAATGTGCCCTGAAAGAGGCAGACCTCCGCCAAGGAATAACTGCATTCATCTTCATCTGTGTATGCATCCCGTCAGCCCAGCCAGGGTCACCATGATGGAGAACAATAATCTTCTCCTCTACAAATTACTTTGCAAAGACAAGGTGGGTGGCATGGAGAGAGGGGTTCCAGTTATGCAAGGAAAGAGGAAAAGCGAGATGATGGAACAGAAGAGGGGCGGCAAAAGGGGCAAATGGTTTTTGTCTAGAGTTTTACACAGGACGTGTGTACGTGTGTGTGCAAGAGAGGGAAAGGGCGAGAGAGAGATGGTTGTGAGAGGAGTCCCATTTGTTTTTGGAGTTCCAGCATCTACAGCTCTCTCACTTTCTGACACTGTATTCTGATTGTTTACAAGCCAGGCGTCACTTCCCTGTGAAGGTTAGTTTAATGAATAGTAATGATCCCAGTGAATGCCTCCGACAGGTGATACATATTCACTCTTCTTTCACTTTTCTACTCAACCCTCCACGCCAACCCTCCATCACCCCTTCTGTTCACCCAACCCCCTCTCTTCCTGTCACTGTAACACACACTGTTTCCTTGAACTGGCAATAATCTACTCAGTGTTTTTATTTATTCATTTTTTAAAGCTCTCAAACCACTGAATCATCTTTTTATGAGGATGGATGCATCCACAGTTTGTTATGATAAAGTGAGCGACCAGAAACACCATTTCTGGGAATAAGCTACCAAATTCAAAGCCAAAGGTCGCGGATCAGCCCAAAATGAAAGCCGGTTTCCCATCATTCTACTCTGAAGTCCACTCAGTCAAACAACATGGCTGCCACATCATTTACCACAACAAACACATCTCATATTCATTGATTTTACTTACAGATTTCCAATGAAAAATGAGACAGATGATGCAATGCATCAAAGTTTGAACGCTGAATTAAAAAAGCATATCTAATTATTTTAGAGTTTGTTTAACATCTCCTTTCAATGTCAAGCAGCTGAATGGAGCATCAGTCAGATTGATCAGTTTGAACCTCCTCCTTCACCAGACTATCAGCCCTTAACCTCTATATTACAGGAGATAAATCAAACATGTCTTTTGGGAAGCTGATTTTATTAAAAAAAACATTTTGACAGTCAAAATGCTCACAATAAAATCATGTCTTTTTTATTAAAACCTCACATGAATACTTACTTCAGACAGAGCGATGATGAATACCCAACTGAGGTCATTCATATAGAATAAAATCAGTTTTGTTCTGACCTTGACCTCTTGATAAATCCTTTCAGGTGGCCTCTTACCTGTCTGCACAGAGTTTGCGGGCCTTCTGCAGCTGCATGTTTATCCACTTAGGTCTTTTTTCCTCCAGAGCCTGAAGTACTTTGTGCACCGTGAGTTTGGGAACGCCCTGTTGAGAGATGATTGATACCAAATAATAAAGGTAAGGGACACAGCTAAACAATTATCAATGTATATATATCAGATATAAATATAAAGATGTAGATCATTTCTGCACACAAACTCACAAGAGATTACATTTACTGTACAAGAAATGGCTACCTTTCATTCATATGAAAAACCTAATTACTACTATTATTATACTAGTAACTATAGGTATTACTTTTTGCTGAATGCTCATGAAAGCCTGAAGGCACTCAGCCAGCAGGGACAGACGGTCCTTTGCCCCACGGTCTAGAACCAGACCACTGATCTGTTCTAGAGCGTTTGGGTCCTCCAGGCCCTGAATCAAGCATCCCAGTAGAGCCCAGAGCAACAAGCCCACTGAGCGCAGCTGGCGGGAGTGCTGGGAGAGGTGCTTTTCTGCCACTTGAAAGAGGAAGCGGATGGGGAGAGGCAACGATGCCACAGCCAGAGGCAGGTTGGTGAAAATGAAGGACAATGCTTGAATTGCTAAAGATATGACCGCTGAAGAGAGAAAGGCAAGTTAGGCTTTGGAAAAAGTCACACAATTTTCCGAAAAATTGCTTCGAAAATGTCTGTGCGTACTCGTGGTATTGGAGTCTTTTCCTCTGCCATCAAAAGTAGTGTAGTTCCAGTCCTTAGGTATCTTGGCTAATATACTCTCTGGTGCACTCCGCTTGGACATAGATCCTTTGGACTCTTCAGTGGCCTGCCAACTCAGAACCATGGACACAAGGTGTGCCAAAATTCTGCTGTTTGACTTTGTTAGAAACGTCCGAATGCAGCTGATCACCACAGGTACCACTTGCGTCGTGTCTGTCAAAAACAACAACCAAAATTCATAAGTTTAAAGAAGTAGGGAATCCAACTTAGGCATGAGAAAACATTAGGTGCACAAGAGGGGTCACAGCAATATCTATAAAAAAACGAGAAACCTAAAAGATGTGCATACAATTTCAGTGCTGAATCAACCAACTCCCTTATAATTTTGTCAATGAAAAAGTTATGTTAAGCAGCCGAACACCATTCATGGTGGTACAGTTCAATTCAGACAGAAGAACAATTTTCTCAAAACAGTGGGAAAAGAGGGGGAAAAATACATTAGATACCAAATGTTGCTGAAATTGATAAAAGTACTGTTTTAAGTACATTTCATGATGGTAATTTTGACTTCAACAGTCAGTTTGCATTGGAAATTACTCAATTTCTGTGTAAATACAGAGAAGTCAATGATTCCCACAGAGCTTGCATTTTTTGTGGAATTATCTACTTTTTTTTATGTCGAATCATCTCACATTTTGCTGTTTCAGATCAAACCCAGACCTAAAGGTAGGAGACCTACTGCCCTTACCAGGTGTACTGTGGCTTTCATCTTTCAGCTCTTTCACATCCTGCTAATATTAATAACTGAGCCTCTACAACTTGAAGTTGTATGGCACTCATAAACTTCCCACGGCTTTACCTGTAAAACCAGAGGCTACAAAAGAGAGAGTTATTGTGGCAGCAGTGGAAGTGCTCTACAATCTCCAGGGACGTCTGACAAATGGGTGACCTCAGAGCCACGGAGAAATAGGAGTGGTGTGGAACAGAAAATGATATGGCTTTTTGAAGGAGAAGCGCTCTTTGGCAGGTGTGGTCTGGTCCCATTTTTCAAAGTCACATGATTCCCAGAGTTTATACTGCCTGGACAGTATTGACTGGTGTATTGATTTGAAACAACCTTCCACTCTGTGATGAAACACCAGAGTAAGTGGTGAAATAGTGAGACTCTCAACGTAATCTATGAAAGTTAACTCAGCGAACAGTTTAAATAGAAATGGGGGGCACTGGGGGTATCCTGTAACCAAAATTATGATATGAAGATTTGGAACAGTCCAATAATTAAACTAATTACCCTGTGAGGATAAATGAATGGATGACATTGAGAATTTCTCTGTGGCATACTCTATCTCTCTTTAGTTCGTTCTTTCTGTCAACCCCTCCCCGTGTCTCCACCCAAATGCTCTTCTCCAATCACCCTAATTTATGCTTCAATAATTACCTCTCACCCGTGATTCACCACTAAAAAGAACTCTCTACTCCGCAGGAGTTCTGATTAAGCTCTACAATAAAGCTTGCATCAAAGACAGCAAAAACGAATTAGGGAATTATTGTAGTCAGTGAAACAGTGATGCTTTACATCATGAGCAAAACAAAAAGTAGATCAGCACACAGATTGGTATAGTTAACATTATTTTGTGCTCAGAATTGACATCAATGCAGTTTTTCACTTTGAGTTTAAAACACATTTTGAGCCCCTGTTTCTTTAAGTCCCAGTCAGCTCCAACTGGTATGCTTGTGGATCAGATTTGGCACAATCTCCAGAGTGCCCCAAAATGACAAAACAAAACTAAAGAGGAATTACGCAAATTAAAAATCTAAAAGTCTAAGAAACATAATTTTTCTCATGGAGTTGCATCTGTAAGACTAAAATTAAACATTGACGAAATAACGGCAAAAGAACATAAATCTAAACATTGGGCAGATTTTCTTAAGAAAAAAGCTAGAAATTGTCTTAAAGAATCAGACTTAGGCTCAGAGGACTGAGGCCTTCTTTGACTGTGGTTACACAACATGGATTTGATTTATGAAGAGCCCATTTGAAGTGCAGTGCAGTGAATAAAAAGAAGGTTACACACATAACATAGTGAGGTACACTGCAGCAACTAGATGAACTGAGTTCAGGAAAGTACGAGCCATTGGAGGGTAGCTGGCCCGACTCTGAAGTGCAAAAGTTTTTTCTAATGTCTAATCCCTGTGGCGCATCATTATAAAAGCAGCAGTTTGAAACTTTACCTGCCAGCGTGTATAGATGCTCCCATATATGTGCCCTCTCCAGGTAGGGCTGGAAGGCCTGAGTCAAGGCCTTGGGAACATTATTCAAGCAGGAGAGAAGGCTGAACAAAGCAAGTATGAAGTCATCTCCTGCCTTGGAGTTCTTTGGAGACATTTCTAAGCTACTCTCCTGGCAAAAATCTAAAAACACAGAGGAAGTCTGGTGAGAAACCCCTGCAAACAATAGAAATGCATACTGAAAAGCGTAAATGCATTTGCAAAAACTTGATATTCGAAGGACATGACACATACGAACAATGAGATTCAAGATGAGATGAAAAGGCTTACTCATATGCGCTCAAAGGAGAGTAGGTGAGTGAAAAATGTGTTTGTTTTTTTGAATTACAGTTCTGGCAATATCAACTTATGTATGAAAAGATGTAAAAACCTGTCCTATGGAACAACATCTTGATTTCTGTGAACAAAAAAGACACTGGAAAATGTCAAGGCTGCCCAGCCTGACACATGTTAACAGAAAGGGTGAACAAAAGACGGTGTGGAATAGAGGGGTAAGAAAAAACCCACATCTGTGTTAGATGGGAAAAAAACTGAAAAAGAAACAGATTTCAAAGCCCCCGGCTGTGGGATCCACAATACTTGGAAAAAGGAAGTGAAAAGGAAGAGGTTTTGACAGGGTGTCCTTGTGGGGGTTGCTGTCTGAGCACAGGGCTGAAGATAGAGGTGTGTGTGTATAAAACCCATATGGATGCCTATATATGTGTTTTGTGGTCTCATAAGTGTGTGTGTGTGTGTGTGTGTGTATGTGTGTTTAGTTGACAGGGATTGCTGAGGAGAGGCCCACTGCTCCAGAGGTGGCAAATATCCAGTGGTCTGTCAGTCTGCTGTGTGGGAGATGACAGCTATTTGTATAGGAGTGTATGTGCATGCAGCAGTCAATAAGGGGGCGCTGTGGCATGATGGAGGGCAGTACGACTTCTCTCTGACTAATGCTGAACTATTTTAGAATGACAAGGCAAAATTGGATGTGCATTAGGGAGACATGACCAACCACCTAAGGAATACTCAGATAGGAAGCTCTGATACCACTTTTGAGTTTTGACAAAAACTGATCTTCTCTTTCATGCACTTGCCATTTAACAAACACATATTTAACATATGTACTAAGAAGTGTTCCACCATCTTGATCTACAATCAGCCTATTAGGTATTATGTGGATTATACCAACATCTTGTTCGCTGCCAGTCTGGTAATTGGTCCTTCAGGGGATAGTGTTATGGATATCACTCATCTGGCTCCAATGGGCCAAGGAAACAGGGGTGACTAACATTAATTTCCACTTGGGGTGCTGGAGAGCATAACAGGTTAACTAGGTGCCTTTTAATAATGATCCCATTACTGAGCAGCAGATGACTTCAGAAAAACAGATCTCAGCAAGTTGGCACATCTCCGTGGAGTTTCCAGTGCTCCTTCAGCAAACAATCATCCCAATATGTTTTGTTTCAATTTCTGATTCTCTTCTATTTCCTTCCCTTTTTGTCTCTGTGCTTATCCAGCATTGATACACAGCCAATTCATACACCTGTTTATCTTCTAGACAACCAGTCAACCAGTCGCAAGGGCCCTATCTGCAAACCTTTGTAATTGGAAGCAGACATGCTGAAGATAATAAAAGACTTTATGTGCATGTGTGTACCAGAAGTAGTTTGCCTGGAATACGCTGTACAAAAAGTAAAACTGATTTTTTAGTGGGCAGGTAACAAAATGATAAACTTAATCATACACACAATCAAAACTAACATTAATAAAAGTTTATAATAACTACAAAACTAACAGTTGAGAAAAAGTAATCATATCAGAGATTAAAATGCAGCATGAATTTATTAGCAACTAATATTATAAGAGTAAATTTTACTTAGACAGAAAAAGAGGACAGAGCCTATCAGAAGTAAGATTCACTGTGATTTCATGATTCGTGAACTGAGAATGTAATTTTCATCCAAACAGTACAGAGACACACTCCACACATGCTGTGTGGAGACGAGCTGTGGATTATGGGATCCAGTCAAGCTGTTCCTTATGTCTGTCTGCATCCTGGTTAATTACTCCATCACCACAATAACATAGAAGAATCAGCGTTTGTAGCATTGATTTACGGCAGTGTGCAGCGAGAAGCGTTGCAGAGCCTCAGAGTCAGACTCAGACCAAGCGAGAGAATGAGACAGAGAGAGTTGTTATTAATGAGGTCACTATAATGTGAATTAATGCGCGAGTGTGCAACAGTCTTTAAAGGTTAGACTGTTGCTGTGTGGAGGAGAAAAGAAGGAAGGGAAAATCTTTAAAGGTCAGAGCATGGGCACCGCCCGGGTCTGTTGAGTGTTTATTACTGTGCTCAATTGATTTGGAGATGATGATGACCAAGGTGAAAATGATGATAATAGCAAAGATGTTGATGATAACTTCATAAAATGTATGGAGCTCATCAAGGTCAGCATAACTTGGTTAGGAGCTCGGAGCATCAAAATGAAGTAATAAACACTTCCCACACATGCACCCGAGGGTTCAGTATTACAAAAACTACAATGAAAGAAAAACAGAAAATAAAAGAAAAACATGAAGTGGCTTTAATATTTTCTCACAAGACAAATTGCTAGGTCTGATAATTGCTCAGATCTTTGTGGGACACATGGACACACTGACATATTCTATTAATTTAGACAAAACTAATTTATGCAAATGATTTAAAAGAAAAAAGACTCACAAGAATTTTCCAGGAGTATTCTAGGCAGGTGACAGTCTCTGTAAAGAAGCAGCCGTAAAAGCAACTTGGGACTGCATCCTGGGTCAGAGGTCAGAAGCCTCAGTTGACATGCCAAGGCTGCCTCATCCATAAGGCCATCTCTAAGAGATTTGCAAGAAAAAAGGAGAAAAACAAAGTTGACAGTTCTGCAGTGTCAGGTGAGTATACAGATAGGAGTCCATTTAGCAAGAGACAAAAAAGATGGGGAGAGGCTTCACAAGTCAAACACAAAGACAGAAGCCTTAGATGACAGTCTGGGAGGGAACAGCTGGGGAATAGCTACAGTGGTAGACTCTTTCCACATCACTCATTCCAGATTTCCAGATAGTTTGGTCTCAAAGTCCCCTCATTCTTACATACTCATAGTGTACACCGGGAATGAATTAGCTCAAATCTTGACCAACTAAAAGCAAATTACCATTTGGGAGACAGCCAAATACATGAATATACAGCATCAACCCCCCCCCCCAACACACACACACACACACACATATTTTGTATAACCAATAGGCTGAAGCCAGCTGTGGCTAATGAGCCGTATCCTTGGTGTGAGAATCTAGGAGCGTTTGCCTGTGCTTTTCATAGGCCGTACTTCTGGCTATGTACGTGTGAGCGCATGCTGGAATGTGTGCCTGCATGTTGGTTATACATCTCAATAAATATCTAATCAAAAAAGTGGACAGGATTGGTCCTATGAGCAAGGAGGCAAGAGGCAAAACAGGGGGTCTCTGCTGAACTACTCCATTTGAGCCAAAAGACTACAGCACTGCTTCTGTAGAGAGGACAACTAAAGCTCAGTCAGACACCACAATTTATGATTCCACTGGATCTTAAGATCTACAAGAAGTCCCTCTCGTAACTGGTAAATTTACCCACACAAAGAATAGGGTCATCTTACAGAACCAGGACACACAGATGCAGGCTTAACCACTCACAAAAAGAACAATGCAGAGCACAAAAGAGCACAGCCCATGCACAGACTGCATGCAATGCGTCGCATATTTTCTAATATCTTTTGTGATGGCGTCTCAAACAGACAGCTGCACGTTTCGGCCACACTGGGAAGGGCATGGGCAAAGACCTGTGAACCTGGCCACATGCCACCTGGCACCCTTGCATAAGGGGAGGACATTGGAACAAAGAAATAAAAAAGATCATAAAGAAAGACTAATTTCAATACTTGGAGAAAAGAAAGTAGGGGTTGGTTTGATTTTCTGATCCATCAGCATGCAATGACATCACTTTTGGCAAAGAGAGGTATAAAAATGGAAGAGGGTGGAAACAAAGTTAAGGCCAGAGTGGCTGACTACACAGGGGAGGTCAAATCTGCAATTGGACTCAAATGTACACACATGCATGTGTATCCTGTTGATGCCTCAATGTAAAACCCTCAGCATCTATCAGCTTTAACTTTGTGTCAGAAGCATTGATAGTTTATTTTCCTCTTTCTCACCTTCCATCTGGGTTATATTATCACAGCAATTCTAGCTTGAAACCTAAAGCAGCAGGTCATATATCGTGCATGGCGTGTGCAGCTGTAGCTTCACAACACACTTACATATGGTAACTGTGTTGTGTGGGCAGGGTCTGGTGTAACTTAGTGCGTCTTAACTTATATCTGTCTGTTTTTAACTTGTGTGTCTGCGTTTGTTTGTGAACATGCAAACTGTAAGTGGGCCTACTGTATAATGGGAGGCAGATGGTTTGTTGGGTGTATTTTGTTATTTACATACCGCATGGTCTGCGCTGTGAAGAGGTCAGGGTTAATAACATTTAGCCAATGTACAACCGGGCTGTTGGGTTGCGTTGTGGACTCCTTTGAAATGCCAGTCATGAATGTCCTGAAAGAGTTAAATACCATAAAATAACAGCATTAAAAAAATACAGTCCACTATTATCATAGCATACTTTCATTCATTAATTTGGGAGCCCTGAAACAGAGTCAGTGACTTCTGTAGTATATCTGTCCATCACTGTCAGACAGTGAGAACTGTAAATTTGTTGTTATTGGGTTGTATTTGAATGAACGTCAAGGTTGCTAGAAAAATAATGGGCACGTGGTACAAACCTATATAGCAAAGATAAAGGTGCTGTGACAATGATGAGGACCGTCAGGAGTTGGTCACACAGGCTGTGTATTTGATATGGCCAGTTAGAACCACCTGCTATGATGGTTATTTCTGCAGAAGGGTCGAACAGCACCAAAGCCTCGGGACTCTCACACACACTCCACATAAGGTGCTCCACATACAGCAACACTGCTGTGATGTCACATCTGAAATACAGGGCAAGGGATAGAAAGAACTAAATATTCAATGAAAACAGAAACTGATATGTGTGGTTTCCTTGTATCTATACATCTGAGCCTCTCAACAAAACATTGGGATTTTACCCATGGAAATTCAGGTATTCTTTTACTGAATTTTACAATGAATATTATTACTTTTATGTTGCACCCACACATGAGGCTTAGATAAGTTTGACAAAACATCTATTTAGGCCTATGTCGTATGGTACAATAGATCCCCCAATAAATGCACACATAGGCTGGTTCCTTTTTACTAGTTTCTCATAATTTTCCATAGTTTCCTTAGTTTCCCTCCTTCTCTGATCATTAACTCAACCTTTAACACCTGTGTTTCTTGCCCTCAGCTGCTTCAACTAACTAATTACCCTCCCTTGTACATATGTTCTCTACTTTCAATCGCTCTTTGTCAGATCCTTGTCCATTCATCTGTCCTCTTTCACAGTTACTTTTAGGTCACAGTTTTTTTCTGTTCTGTTCCATGGCTTTCTTTTTTGTCTTCAAATTTTTTTGTCGTTCTTAGGCATTTGGTCTCCTCAAATATGTTAGATTCCATTTTTTGGGTAATCTGACCTTGCCATGCTTTCTATTATATTTTTTAAATAAATAAAAGTTCTGCCTATGTCCCCTTTGTCAATGTCTTCTCTTTGGATCCCCCTCCACACACTCCCCTGTATCACCTTGCTTGTTACTGCTAAACAAAGATGTAAAACCTTGGAATTGAAGTAGAGGGTGGTTTCATTTCCATGTGACTGCATGTTGTTTTATCAATACTTTAAAATTAAATGTTTAGGATTTAGTGACTTATAGACTGGACATTACAGACTGCATATGCTCTGCAATAAGGCCAAGTTTATAGGATGAAAGTGGTTTGTCCAATGTGAGCTAATTATAGAAATGATTAAATCTATGGCTACAAAATAGTACCAAAGCTGATAACAAAAATGCATGATTGTCTATGTATGGTACAACCTCACATTTCTGTTTATATGATTGTAATAACGGTACAACGCATGATGAAATACCTGATTTGCAGGTGTCTCTTGTATGAAGCACGAGCCCTGGCATATCTTTGCACCAACAGCTGTAATGTCTCCGACAGTACCTGTCCAAGCACATCCTTAGCAAACTCTGCTGGAAGAACTGCCCACAGATCGCTGCGAAGCCCACACAGGAAGTAAAACCACATCTGCAGTGAGAAGGAACAACGCTCGCCCTGTGGGGTGGGGTGGGGTGGGGGGGGTCGTGGATGGGAGGGAAGAGTGGCAGATGAAGATATGTTATGATGTAGACATTGACAGTCAAGCAGAAACACATACTGAATAAATATAAAAGGAAAGAAAGTGAGGGTGAGGAGAAAAATGTGAAGGGGAAGAAAGAGAGAGACCCAGACAGGTCTGTCAACACCAGGATGACTTAGTGGTCAAGCCACCTGCACTCTGCACCTGGGTTTGTTCTCCCACTGGGATTTTGGGCTGCTTCAAAGTCATGAACTGAAGATCACAACAGGCGCAATATCGCACACATATGCATGCTCACACAAATATAGAGTAAGTAAAAGAAAAGGGGAGAGTCAAGAACTTTTCTGAAAAAAGTGAAAAAAGACAAGTAAGTGGAAGAAGAAATGGACAAAAAGATAAAAAGATTAATGGAGAGGGATTATTACAATGGCATCCCACAACTTTGTTAAAAAATGCAAAGACATGTATTCAGACTACTTCTTCTACTTAGGAAAACTATTCATGCAAAAATCTAACCGCCAGCCATAAACCGACGGATAATATGTAAGGGGTATTGAGTCACTTTGTCTAGGTTAAACTAAACAAAGACATACATTGGGTCAAAACCAAGTGCTTTAAGATGTGAACAAATTCCTGCTTAGGGATGATGGCTTGGCGAAAGTTAAGGATGAATCTGCCAATGCAAGCCCGAGGACAGAAGAAACTTGGAACTTGAAACTTTTCTAAATTAAATAAAGTTTCTGGTTCTGAAGGCTAAGGGCAAAATCCTGACTAAAACTTTCGTCAAAGCTGTATTTGAAACGGACTTTGATCAATGTAAGTGACCTCATATGTAATCATTTTGCGGTAACATATTAATAATTTTTCTGCCAGTAAGAATTTATATGTCAGTGTGAATGCATAACACCAAAAATAAAATGCAGACTGAATGGGTCGCTGTGCAGCTGCATTAAGCTTTAAAGACATAAGTTGGAAAATCCAGGAGGTGTAAACCAGTTGCACATGCACAAAAAAGGGAAAACACGTATGCATTACATACACCAAAAAATATTTCCAACCTGAAATTCTGCTGCATACCCACTTAAACATTCATTTGTACAAATCCACACAGAGATGGCTGAACAAAAGCGCACACCTGCACGCAGCAGGCCTGTCTGACACTAGTGACCCATGGAAGGAGAGAGGAACAAAGAGGGGGAAGGGGAAGGCAAAGCAGGATGAAGCGTGGAGAGGAGAGGTTTAGATTGGTTTAAGGGCATGAAAACAGGGGAGTTTTAGAGGCCCTATGCTGTTTCCAGACAGTCCCAGTGTAGAGTGCAGACTTCAGACAGCTGAATCCCGGGAGCCTCCAGGGCAGCATGGAAGCCACAGATGTTCTCAGGAAGCTCAGAGTATAAAGCTCAGAAAGAATAGGGCGAGTGGGAGGTAAAAGTGCATTGTGGGAATGAAGCGAGACGCAAGAGAATGCTCAAGAGTATATTTCCTAGAATTCTTCTAAATCTATCCAACAAAGCTGCAAACGTGTGTGCCACCAGAAATCCCACTTCTTACAATAGGATAAGTGAAATGAACATCAGTCAATATTAGAGCATTTTTATCTTCTTTTTGACTGGAGGTAAACAAACAACACACTCAAACAGGTTTCAGTTAAACTAAACATCAAGGGAAGTCCATGAGGAAATATGTGAATGACATAGATGTAGAAAAATGAATTAGCCAAAAGTCAGACAGATTAAGTTGATGTGAGAAAATTTTACCTCATAGAGTGGCTTAGGGTCAGACCAGTTGTGACTCTCTGCATCCTGAAGAATGCAGGTGAGACAAACCTGGATACAGTAACTGGTCAGTTGGTTTCTCAAAGCTTCCACTGTGTCTTGGTACTTCTGAATGGGTAATAGAGTCAGAGGTCTGGGCACAAAGAAAGAACACAGATTAAAGGTAATAAAATATAGTATGAAATATATTATACTCATGTTAAAAGTTCAACAGGGTGCAATCCTGTGATCTACATGCAGTTGTTTGCAGTAAAGCAAGGTTTCATCTTAAACGTATCAAAAGAAACTTGGAATGGTGTGGTTTTAAAAACTACAAAAGAGAAATAATGGATGAGGCAACGAAAAAAAGACCCAAAATATGAAAACGAAGAGGAGTTAAACCAGATTTCTTTAAACACTCTTTTTGGTTTATTAGAAAATCTAAAAATGCAAAAATCTATTTTTTCATCCTCTGTAAGTATTAAAGACGAAAAATTCAAGGTGCTATATTTGAGGTTGAAATGTCTAGTTTTATTCTCCTCATATTCATCAATACTATCAATACTAGGTAGTTGCATACATGTTGCATGAGGACATAATGGGTTAATGGGATTTACATCAAAACACACATGGGCACATGGGATCTAATACTACATCCTCATTCTACAATACCCACCAACAAACAGAGCAGTCACCTCCTTCTTACATTTTAGCTGAAGTATTTGAGTCTTTCAGCCTGGCACTGTAGTGCTCCAGTCGATGCTGCACGTAAATGCAAGTTGCCAACAGAGCAGGCAAGTTCTTCAGGGGTGCAAAGGAGGGTATCTCCAAGGCCCTCTCCTGTAAACGATACAACATGGCAAATGCTGCCCTGCCACATGCCTCCACAAAGCTCGATCGCACTCCCATGAGAGAACTGTCCCTGCAGGCTGCTGCCAGTGGCAGTAAGGCATCAAACTCAGCCAGTATCACTCCACAGAACTGTGAGGAAAAGATGAGAAAAGATGATAAGAACACTGGAAAGAAATTCTGTCAGTTGAGAGGAAGAAACATCTGGAATGGACCTCAATAAATGTAAATAATGGAACATTTGCTGGGAGTTGTTGGAATGAGAGACCTGATACTGACCTCAGATTGACACACAAGCACTCTTTTTAACATTGTGCAAGCCATTATAACTAAAAAGCAAAGACAAATCAGTGCAAATATAATATACAGATGAGGACATGCCCTCAGAAAAAAACGATTTGCATTAGTTTTTTGTTTATGTTTTAAATGAAAAATATATATATACATAAAAAATCCCTCTCCGTTTCTCTCTCTCTCTCTATATATATATATATATATATATATATATATATATATATATATGCAAAATAATTTTTACAGCACACAAAAGGCAGTAGGTCAGATACAGAGAGGGGCAAGGTAAAGGGAGAGGGAAAGAGAGCTGTTTCAGCACTATAAAGAACATAGAGCTTATTCTATAAACCACCAGAGCAATAAACTAGACTTATTCCCATTTGTCGTGGACACAACCCTATAGGGAGATGATTTTTACACCTTGGCCTTTACAGGACCAAGAAACCTTTCTGATAAAGGCACCAAAGAAAAACAGCATGTTTGTTTTCACAGAGGAACTGTTTTGCGTTTTCTAAATAACTTTTAGTGGAAAGAAATTAATTTTCTTTAATTTCATTAATGTTGTTGAAGTCTTATTCATGAATAACTGCTTCATAAAAATGACTGAGTTCACCTTAGTTTTAGTTTGTTGAAATCCTGATGAAAGCATATAAACTTTGTGTTTGCGCACCTGTGAGTGTATGTGAAAGAGCATGTGCTGTGATAAAATATAAAATGGGTCCATGTAATTTATGTGCTGAATCTAGTGTGTATGTTACCAACAATGGCATACACCACTACCTTCTGCACATCATGTGTTCCATAAGTCCATTCAGAGAACAATGAAAGATGATCAGGCAAGTGCCAAGGAGTCACACATGTGCACAAGCTCAAGTCCAAATGTATGCATCTATATAGGTGAGCACAATACATGAGTTATGAGGAAGGTAGATCCTTAAAAAGTCTTAAAACATAACATACTGCCTGGAGCCACTGAGCCTCATCATATTGGGGGAATAAAATACAGCTTTGGAAAGTTTATGCCAATTTAATCAATAAATCAATCAGTCACAGCATGTATTACTTTCCCCCACTGTCACACTTTTATTTGAATTATTGAAGGAAATGGCCAGGCAGTTTGACATTATGTCACATTGGAGCTACAGTGTGTACATAACTGATAAACCCACAATCTCTTTACACAAGTTTCTTTATGATAGCTTTCAGTGTGGTCTTGGAACAATGATCGTTTGGACAAGAAAGTCAATATGTGACTGCAAGTTGTTATTTGAAGCCTAGAGATAAAGAAAGCGGGCACTGCTAAGAGTATGAAGAGACCCCACAAAAGCAGCCCATGCGCAGACATAGTACACTAAGAAACAACCACAAGCCTGCATCCCCTCTAAAGTTGAACTGAGACATTAGCTGACTTTAGTCAAAGCCTGGAATCCTACCAGGGCCATTGTAGAAAGGTGAAGTAGACTAAGTAAGTGCTAGAGGAGTCTTGATGTGTGAGAAGAATTTGGGGAAAACACATAAGTGGACATCACACAGAGATGAGCACAACAGTAAAGTCTGAATAGAGGAAAAGTACTGTTGCCATTATATTAGAGAGCTGTCACCAAGGTGAGGTGAGAGGGATCCCAGAAAACAAGTAGAGTTCAATCCCAGGCTTTAACAGTAGGGAATATTTCAGCTGTTGAATCAAGGCTATTTGTTATTCATTTGCCTGCCAGTGGCGCACGAAGAACTCAGAAGGATGAGTAACATCCCTGAATATCCATAATATTATTGATACCAAAATAGGTTCAAAATTGTGAGGACAGATGTTTGAACATTTTCACATAAAACTGATCCAACCAAATGCATTCCGCCAGCGTGTGTGTGTCAGTGAGTGTGTGTGTCTCCCTATTGCAGTGTTACAGAATGCAAATGCATGCAAGTGTAACCTTTGGGCTACAAGGCTTTCATCTTTGAAGCACTGACCCTACACGAGAATGTGCTGTATAGTTGTAAGAGTGGAAAGACAAGGAGAGAGGAGAGGTGGGGCACTACGATAAAAGTCTGCATGTTGTCCACCATAGATGGGAGTAGTAAGCAGCTGAGCATTGGAGATGCAGTATGTGAACTCAAGCAACTTCAGGAGAACCTTTGAAAAGTTCTCCAGCGATATTAAAACATGAAAGTAAATGAAGAAACAGAAATAGTGCTAGTTAGAATGTGGCCGTCCAGCCCCATAATTCTGCAAATCCTTGGAGGTGTTAGATCCTAAGCTGGGTATCAGATCAAATACGAGACTTCTTCCTCAAAAAAGTAAATCTCTATTGTTGACTTCACCTCTCTGTGCCATTTCCCAGGCCCTTTCTTCTCATCCATTTGGTGAGGCTATGCCTTCTTTATCCAGCTGTCTAACCAAGACACTTTGTCACCTTTGTGATAGATACCTCTATCATTAGTATACAGTATCTTCCATTTCCCCCATTCAACACTTTTCTCTACACCTCATCTAGCCCTCATAATATCACCCATAGAGGCCCCTGTTTTTTTTTCCTGTCTCCCTTTTGTCCCTGGAGTCCGCCTCGCAAGTAATACTGATGATTCTTCCCAACGCCCTTTCTGATACAGTGTGTCGACTGTGGCAGGCCCAAATCATTTGGGCTCTCCATTATCACAGGAGCTTTCCACTTGGGCAACAAAAAGCATTAATCTCTTTGGGTCTGGGTGTTGTGTGTAAGCCTGCATTGTTCAGTCAGGTAGTTATAAAAAAGGATGAACAGGGCAGAGCTTCCAGTCTGTATGGGAAAACAAGCCCATGTACAATATGAGGAGTGACAAGCTTGGTTTCTTTTCTGGATGTTTCTTGTACCAAAATTAAGATATGCAGTAGAAACAGCTGTTTTAAAGATTAAAAGACTATAATGTGGGAGTTTGTGTGTAGAAGTCAGACATATTTAATTCAAAATGTTATATGTTGATTCATGGTATTGTGGTGGATAGCATGGCTGCCTCTCAAAAAGAAACTCTTTTTCATAAGTTTGAATTCCACAGGACAAAAAGGTGCCTGTTAGGTTGCCTGTTTAATCTCAACTAACCTCAGGAATCAATGTGGCTCTAGGAAATAGTTACATCTATATATACATCACATTTATACAGCATGACTCAAACGTTTAGGGACTCCTTTCCAAACTTTTGAATGAGTGGATGTGCCGAAACTTTTGGATGTGTGTGAGGTTTATGAGAAGAATACCTTGACTAGCATTTTGGGAGTGTGTCTATCTGAGTAGCTGTAGAAGGAATCTTCTTTAAGACGTTTGGTGGTGACGGAGAGGCCAGTGACAGGGATAAGGGTGACAGAGGTGTGTCCAGAAGAATGTAAGGCCTCTTCTTGTAGTAGGTTCTTGGCACAGACATCATCCAGTACCACTTTGACACAATGCTCCATGTGAGGGGCAAGTCCTGCAAATGCTGACCTCCAGTCAAATTCCAGAGTTTGTGCCTGTAAAGCAGGAGATAAGCCAACAACCAATTATCATTGGAATCCTGAAAGGAATATTTCACATGCAACAATCTGTTTAGTTGCTTTGTAATGAAAGAAAACAAGAGCCTGAATGACATTGAACAGTTGTGACAGAAAATAAAAGTTTCACATGAGGAACACACAAGGAAGACGAAAGTCTCACCTCTAATGTGTGAAATCTTTCTGTAGTGGGTTTTTTGCCATCTGTTGTCATGCTTGAATCCTCTCTCTTTTTCAAGATACCTAGACGGTAATACAGTAAAGTGCCTAGAACATTTAATACGCATATTCACAAAACACTTAATTTGTTAAAGATTATTGAACATCACATTCTTAATAAAGCTTGCTTTCCTGTTTTAACCTCTTGAAAAATAACAGTACATTTTTGTAAAGCCCCAAAAGTGAGTGATAAGGAAGCCTGATTAGAGAAAAAGTCACGTTTACTGTGTGAGCATTATTTATCAGAGATTTCGATTTCCAGATTTTAGACCACAAGTTATCAATCTCTCCATTTCCATTTGCTTTCATCTTTCAACAAATTCCAATTTAAGAGCAAGAACCGTGTATTCAAACATGTGAAGCATAGTGATGGCACTTTGTTGCTGTTATGTTGACTCGATGTGGAGACTTAAAACATGGGGGTTTGCAGGCTTTGACATGGCTGTGAAACCAGTCCCAAGTGGTTATTCGCTTTCTGGAAGCTCCGTGCTGACTTCTTTTCTCAGTTCTAGTGGGTGTTGCTTGTATGAGACACAGTGACCGGAGTTTGACTGTTCATGCCTGGAAGGTAGTGGAAAAATGCTGATGCCTTGGCAAGTCTAAATTTAGGATTTTGATTTGATTTGATCCTAGATAGATGAAACAGTATATGGAGTAATTCTCTGAGGGGAGATCGGGTGGATGTGTGAAGTGTGGAAGGGGCGTGACCACAAGTGTACAGGATGTTGAGTTGTGTTTCAATTAAAAAGAACGAACATCAAGGCCATAGTTTCCTAATCAGAAAGCGAAGAGTAAGACCCCAGGCGAGGTAATTTAGTCAAACAAGACCGCGTGGAATGGAAGAAGGGGAGGCAGCAGGCACATCACTTTTTGACCTTTAAGCCCATCTGATGAATTTCTGGTAATTAAGCCATTTGATTGCCTGGAATTAATGATTTGGATAACTGCCCTTTAAAGGCTGTTTACCTCTCTGTAAATTGAGCCTTTCTGCAAGTCTTGTTTTTGTAAATGTAACCTTTATGGAAATTACTCCATGCACCAAAAGCTTTCATTTAACATCTCTGCACTGGCAGTTCAAATGGGAAAGAGGAAAAGGATTATAAAGACTAATATAACGCCTAACATAGACCCAAACTGATAAAATAACATGTCCAGCCACAACTCAGACTTTATACTAAAACAAGCCACAGGATGTGCACTTGTGTGTGTGTACGTGCTTGGGGCAGTGTAGGTCTAAAGGATTGTCACATATGTAAGTCTATCGCCATAAATAGCTGTATATAGAGATTTCAGAATTGTATTTGAAAAGATGGATCACATATTTAAAAAAAGATATATAGATAACATTAGGTTTGAGAAGTACTCTGAAGAAACAAATATTTTACCTTTTACATTGGGAGTGTCTCCTGTACAGTTAATGAAGGTCATATTTGCGACAATTTCTCTCACATTGCTCTCAAACCCAAGCAGGGTGCAGGACAACTGAGTTAACGCTTTCAGCTGGTGGGAGGTCAAACTGAAGCTCCTACTTTTCATGGAAATATCCATTGGAGCTGTGAAGAGAAAAGAAAGTGAAAAGAGATTGAAAAAAATGTCTATTACAGCAGATGTATTACTGTCAGATATGCAGTGTAGTTTAAAGTCCAGAAAAAGGAATAAACATTTCATGTACTTAGATTTTGCAATTTGCCTGCCTACAGGCACTCATCAACAACACCCTCTACCAGAAGTCTGGCTATGAACAACACCTCTTGCAAATATCAAACCATTCATGTTTTCCCAGTGCACAGCATAAACAAAGACACAATGAGAAAATATGCCAAACTTTGTTCCCTGAGAAGTCACAAATCCACAACCTTCCATCTGCTCAAAACTTTTCTCCTCCTAACCCGCTGTTGACCCCATCTGCAAATATGGATTTCCCATTTCGGAGGCTGCCAAAGCGATCACCCGGGGGATGTTCCGCATTAAGCTGGAGAATGGGTGGCTGGGAGATGCGTTGCCATACGCTTAGACACATGCACAAATACTTTTGAGGGTCTGTTTAAATGAGCTCCTCAACTGTAAAGGCATCTGGGAATAGATGAGCTCAGTATTAGCCTTAACTCTGAAAGCATGGAGATGATTGAGTGCCGATACTGTATGTAAGCAATCGGGGGGGTCCTTCTCCACTAATTGTAACATTGTGCTTCTGGATTCTTGAGAAATTTTGCTATATTGTTAACAAAATCTGACAATATGACAACACTGTCCCGAAGGATGTCGGGTTTAATCATGCATGAGGCTGGTGCAGTGTGTAGTTAGTGGGCACGTGTGCATTTTCATGTGAGCATTAATGGTAGAGGCTGGCTGTTTATGTACATTTGTGTTTGGGTTGTGTGTGCACCCATGTTTATGTGCATGTAAATGCAGGTCATTATGGGTAACTTGATTTGTGGATGGCGTGTCAACACACATTTGCACATGTCAGTCTTGCAAGGTAATTGCCAACACTGCGACTCTGTGGTCACCATGGAATACATCCAACCTCGAGATTTATAAGTCCAATTCTACAGTAAGTGTATACATCACTAATAGATATACGTGTGTGTGTGGGTGCATGGATGGAATAGATGTGTAATTATTTGAGATGAGTTGCGATGTGTGTACTTGTATTTGTGTGTGCGTATGTGGCAGCAGCTTCTCTGTAATGGGGTCTAGGGGGAACCCGTGCTACAGAGCCCACCTCAAACTGCATGTGGACACATGTGACCTGGTAGGCACCCGCATGCTGGCCACATTGTCAAGCTTACACCACCAAGTTTACCTGTTTCTTAGTTCACCAACACGTTAAGAGCTTTTGATGATCCACTCAGGGGGGAAGTAAAGCTCCCAACAACTCAAATGTGAACTCATACCACCCTTATGAAAAGAGACACGTTTGAGCGATAGCCACTGCTCTCTGTAAAAAGCTATCACTACAACTCCCTGGCAACCAATATCCAACTTCACTGGGATGTTCATCTGAGCCCAGTAATCATTACCCACTACTTCATCTGGAGCAACACCTTTTTCAGTCTCTCTTCTCTCTCATTGTTCATTCTACTCGTTCCATCAACCTGTGATCCTGACAGTTTCACTTGCTGGATTAAATCAAACTCTAAATAGTGGCACATGACCTTGATGATTAGCATTACATTGCAAAGTCTTTCTTTGGGCTCTGTCACACAAGCTATATAGGTATTTATAGTTGTCGACCTGGCCAAATAGGACTGTGGTTGTAGAAGTCTAGTACATAGCCATCCAAACCTCATTATACCTTAGTCACAACAGTAAGGCCAAATGGAGGCTCCCATTTCCACTTGATGGAGAGGGTGTGCTTAAAAGCGCCCAGGTGTGTCATGTAGCACAGTACATAGCATGTCTCATAGAATGAGGAGGGGGCACTTGCAACCAGCAGAGTTCAACTAAATGTCAACGTACTGAAAATCAATAAGAGAGAAAGTGGTTCTGGGACAGAGGCAAAAAATGATATGTTTATATAAGAGCTCCTCCACATGACATTAAAGCGAGAAGATGTTCTTATAAACAGGAAGATAAATGGAGATCCATATTGCTGTGATCATCATAAATGCAAAAGGCACCTTATTAAAAGGCTTAAAAGGAGACACCATGTTAATTCAATAAATATTTAGGTGTTAGTTTCAAGCAGAGTGCTGTATTTTCTGTTTTTTATGAATCAGAAAATATCAACTTTGGCATAAAAATGTGTACATTTTATTTAGAACCCTTTAATAATGGCATCCTAACGCACGCAAACACACACACACACAACAGTGAAGTTATTTGTTGCCATCAGTCTTCTTCCTGTCTCTGTGGGTTCCAGCAGCTCTACAGAACAATTCCTAATGCACAAAAACACACACATAGATGCACACAGGTCTTGACTGGCAGGGAATTGAGAGAAAAGAGAGAGAGAAAGGAGGAGATCTTGAAGAAGGAAAAAGACTGGTAAGGGATGAAAACATGGAGAGGAGAGGGAGGGGCGGGATAAAGGAATTCCCATAGCAGTTGTTATTGATTCCGGTGTTTACGGGCGAATAGTTTAGTGCCGTTTACAAAACAGAACAGATGCAGCCAGTGAGCAAAAAGGTAAACAATTGCTGTGTGGCGGGCTGCCAAATCCCCAGTCTGATGTATTAAACTCACGGTGAAGAGCATTTCCCCTTTGGCTGCACTTATTGCCACTTCATTTCCTCTTCGCTCGCTCTCTCTCTCTCTCTCTCTTTCTTTCTCTCTTTCTCTTGGACACACACGCACACACACTCCTACTTGCCATCTCCATCTCCCTCTTTCATTCTCATTTCCTTGTTTAACAGAGAAAGAAAGAAAAAAAAAAGATGACTTGTAAGGGGCTTTTTGCCGTCTGGCTATTCTCTGTCTTTCCCTGACCCAGGAGGAACAGTTCTTCCTAACAGAGCCATTAGTAGGGGGAATTGTATGTGTCTGACATGGCCGAAAACCAATTATTAGACACTTTCAAGCAAATGATGCCCAAGTCTTTGGGGAATGAGCAATCATGCAATAATTTAGCCACTGATTTAATTTCTCTCCAGTACAGCATCTCTCACACTTTTTTCTTCTGTCCCTCATGTTCCTCTCTTTCATTTTATCTCTCTGCAGTGTAAATTAGACCTTCGGATGGGTGGTTAGAATCTTCCTTGCCACACTGTCCAACTAGCCAGCAGCCTGTGATATTGTGATTACAACATATGAAGATGATTTTTCTCTTATAGTGCAGATAAACCACAAGTATCTGGTTACATTAAATCAATAGCATACATGGGAAAAGAAGAATTTCAGAGCATGATGTCATACTTGCCTATTTTCCATAAACGTGCAACACTCAATAAGACAACAGTTTGTTTAAAACTTGTTTGTTCATTGTTCCTCTGTGTTTTTAATGTCTATATTGAATTTGAGAGATGTAAAAGTTGTTGAATAACTTCGATCAGAGGAAGATGTTTGATGCTGGAGGTTTATGGTTAGTAATGAAGTAATGCATATGATCAGCCGGGCTAAAATGAGCCCATTACCAGTTGAAAACCTGGTTTAATTGGTAAGTAAGTAACATGCTCCAAATGCTTATCCACATTACCAACAAAACAAGAAGATTTGGTCCTGGAAGTCTGGTTGTACTGCAAACTGCTTTGCTTTATATGACAGCAGTATCAATCCTAAATCTTAAACACCCAAGACACCTATGGTGACCTTTTTGGTACTATGTGGAGACGATTTGCCTTGTAAAAAAATAACTTTCAAGCTGAAAAAAAAGTTTCCTGTCTGCGAAAACACCTACAAAAGCACTAGGAGAGTAACAGTCACCGAGCCATCTGTTGATGACTCAACAAAGCTGTTCCATTTCTTATCTCGTCATCAACCAACTTGACGGAAATGATACCCGTGTACGGATGCCAATATCAAAATAGGTTAGGCCTTTATATACACTAATCCGTGAGTGTCTGTGTGATCTACAGAAACCTTAACATTAGGATTTACTCTAAATGTAGCCTGATCTCTTACAATACTTCAGTGTGTTTGTTGGTGGCAAGGCGGTATTCATGTCTCCTTGTGTGCTCACCGCATATGGTGTCAAGCAGGGTCGTGTGGGTGCCCTGGGGTACATCTGTGGATGCAACAGTGAGGATGTGGTAGAAGGAAGCTCAGAGCCACAGTGGACCTCCTGCTAAGCCCTGTGACAGCTAGGGTACTTTTCGTCAGTTGCGGCCCACTGCTCACTCAGACAGCCTTATTATGGGAGGGCTCCTGCTGTGATTCCCCGATATATGCTAGGACACATGCACATGCAAGAATAAACACACACACACACACATCAACACAACTACCCAAACACTGGTCTCGTGTGGCCCTTTCCCTGGGTGCTGTCCAACCAGGTCGCAGCAGGGGCGACCTGGTCCTCACTGAGTGAGAAAGTAGCAGCGTTTGATATGTCAATTACGTTTTTTTTTTGCCCAGAAGCAGGATGTTTTTGGTTGTGATTGACAGGCAGGGTTAGCGTTGTGCTGCTTTATATCAGCTTATCCTTCATCCGTCTGCCTTTATTTTTGGCCCTTTCCGTGGTGAACACTGCAGGGACTGTGAAATAGGGGTTAATATTTATCTGGCCTTCACTGTGTACTTGAACTGAGTAGCCTGGATGAAGAACATGGAAGAATGTATTGACATGATAGGAGCATTTCATTAAATCCCACTTGTTTAGTGCACTTGTTCGCATTATTGTTTTCAAGCCCTCAGCAAATCACACTGACTCTTCATCACAAAGTACAGCCTGCTCTCAATAAGCCAGCCATTTCTGTCTGTGCTTTTTCAATAGAAGGTGCCAGGAAAATTTTCATATCCTTGAGCTGTTCAAGAGTGATACACAAAAGCCATTGTGGCCACTCAGTGGATATGGGGAAAAATAAATGACACACATAATACACATTCTCAAGGGCCTTGAAACATAATCTTTTTGGTGATTTCATTGAAGCCATGATTTAGAGAAAATTATCACTGACGTGCACTCAAACATAAACCTGACCCAAGATTTTTCTTTAAAAACCCTGCTTTTCTCATTATGATTATTAAACTATCTCTACTCTGTGTAGTAACTTTTTAAGACAAGATTTTATAATTACCTGAAAGGACAAAACATGAGGACAAAAAACATCTGCCCTTACATGCAGGCATCTCAACCCCCCAATACAGAGTCCATAATTATGTGGCAGCATGCGGGCGCACATCCCTCGCTGATAGTGTGTATAAACCCAGGCAGAGATATGATCTAGTGAGGAGCTGCTCTTATTAAATATTAACAAACGCCATTCCCAAGTAGCCTCAATCCCCACAAGCACCTCCACTGCAAGTCAGAGTCTGAGCTTCGCTATCTCGTGTCACCACAAAACCTGTCTCCCTGCAGAATAGGCTGTGGGGCTGTCTCTAAGAAAGAGTTCAAAGAGCCAGAAAGGGCACGGGTGGTGGTGAATGAACTTGCTATATACGTTCTACCTGAATATTTTTTTCATCTATATGGATGTGCCGACATATGGGAGAATTAGTGGGAGGTGGAATTTGAATCAGTGCACTTTAGCATTGCAAAGCATTCATGCTGAATTTCTCAACAGCATTTTCATCCCTGTGAGGAAATGAATTGTTAGAGCTTTTTCATAGAGGTTGGAATAAAAGTGTTGGATGTTCTACAAGAACAAGGATCTATAATGCACTCAAATGCAAATTAGTGATGCAGTATTTTGGGGTTTAATTTATTGTAACATTTTAGGTTTCTACATGTCAAAGATAAATATGCACACACCTATTGAATGACAAATAGGCAGATATGCAGACAATACAAGTTTACCACAGACACAACTGCAGCTGCACACTGTGACAAGATCATAAATAAAGGTGAGAACTCTATAACAATGTACCAAATCAGGTACTTCTTGTTTCTGTTTTTGTCTGATGTCAATACAAACTTTTGTATTGACATGAGCTATAAATAAATAACATCAAAATAAATAAATTACACCAAAGGAATACAGTTAGAAGAGGCACGAAGGCCTCTTATATATTTTACATTAAAATAGTTATTGATAGAAAAATAAACTTTTCCAACACTTTTTTACATTCAACAGCTAGGACATTTTTCAAAACAATCACCAACCAAGTCAACAGCGACTTGCAGTATCACTGAATGCAAGAATAACTCTACTGTTTAGCAAAAAAACTGTTTGAACAAGATCCCCAAACTTAGGAACGGTAACTTGGGAAAACAAACAGCGATGATCTGACTGACTGCACAACAAAACACAACAGCCCATATCTATGATGGAATGGGCGGTGTTACTAGTCACTCCATGAGTAACTGTGAAAGCTCAATTAATGCTTATTGTGGATGAAGATTTATAAAGCACAGTATAATGGGATATATAATATCTATCAATATCAATATGGTAAACTCTCACAAACAGCATGCACACAAAGACTTCGGCCGACATACTCTCCCATAGAGTCAGTGAAGTGTGCCATGGAAGTCTAAAGCTTACATTGTTCCTGACCATCCAACCTGTCGAGCACAATTCCCAGTCTCACTGTTCACCCCATTACATCTGGAAAAGTAGAGGGAAATGGGAAAAGAAGAGTGGAGTAGTGGTTGTGGGAGAGATGGGTTTAAGAAAAAAAGGGCGAGGGGTGAGACCATTCAAATCTGTCTAGGTACAATGTCAGAGCCTACCTTGAGTCGGTAGGGTTAAAAGAAGAGGCAGATCTTGCTGTGAATGCTGTTAAATGGTTCAGTGGTTTGACAGTGGCTGATGCTACAGACAGCGCTATTCCCCTGGGAGCCCACAGAGTCTCCCTAGCATGGCTCTTATCAAAATATACCTACCGCCTCCTCTACTTCAGAAATAAACAATAACACAGCAGGAAAGGAGGGAAAGATATAAAGAGCCATTGGATGCTTATGAAGTGAGAATTACTTTTTTTTCTCATTCTTTAACTCTGTCATAATTGTCTTGACAATTATGTGAATTGCATACAGTACAGAAAGTAGAGTGTAAAAGCCGATTATACATTAATGTTCCAGCTCTGGCTCTTTGAGAGCCACGGGCATTTGGAGGGAGTATGTTGGTTCTTAAGTTTTTTGGAGGAGACTTAAAACATGAACACAAAAATGTAATCCCAGTTGTAGCTGTGGTGCAGCTGATAGTCACACACACACCCAAGCACACACACAAACACATAAGTAAAACCAGCACAGGCAAACTGCTCCATTTTACCATCATTACACAGCACGGGTCCCCCGCTCCCTTTGGAGCCGTGTTCTGCCTCCGGTGCTACATTTGACGGTTTGTTGAGCGGCACGTAGGTGTGTAGCCTCCGCCGCGTTACGTGATCAAACAGCCCAACTGACGCATGGCCAATTATCCTGGCTGCCTCCTCTCATCTCACATTTAAGGAGAGGGAAAGTAAAAACCAAAGGGGGAGATGGAGAGAGAGCGATGGAGTGAGGCAGAGAAGGGAAAAAAGAAACAAGGCTGGTGGTATGTTTATCGAAGAATGGCAGATGCAAAAGAACTTCTCTCCCTTTTCCGCAGGGAAGCTGGCATGTGCACCATTTTTTGAAAAGTAAACAATGGCTCACACACTTTTCTTTTCCTTTGTGAATCTTTACCCTCAGCAAGTTGTAAATAGGCCAATATGAAGCAAACAAAAGGAATATTGGGGGAATTTAGTATCAGAGATGTCACAGAGTGTGAGGGTCGATGCTCTTTTCTAGTCTAAGTATCATCACTGCATTTTCCATCACAGAGAGACTGCAAAAGAAAACTATTTAAAGTATAACTTGAAAGTTGTTTTTCTTAACTACCATGCCACTGTGTAGCAAGGTTGATAGATAGTTGAACTTTGCTCTTATTTAATAAACAGCTCTGGTAAGCTCCTATTAGTCCATGTATGAAGCTCACAATACTGAGAAAGGTCCAAATTAATCAATCTGCCCACTCCATTGTAACATTGGGAGGTTGTATGAGAGGGAAGTTTAAACAACTTATCTAATTTACTTTAATTTACTTTAAGGAGGTCAATAATAAATAATTATCAGGGCACAATTTTAAGGTTCAATTTAAAGGGGGTGATTTAACTCTCCCTAAACACACTGCGGCCAAACCAGATCGTGGCATAGACTACACGTTGATGCCACACGTAGGAATAGTGTTCAGAAGCAAAAGGAGGCCTCAGTCAAGGAAAAACTACTCCCCATGTTTATTTTTATAGGCAATGAGAAAAGAGGGCCAGGCAGGTAAGAGGGCAGTAAAAAGAAAGCAATTACAACAGGAGCAGCAGTCCCTTACAGAGCCCATGGTTCTGGCTCAGATCACTAAACACTGCAGTTGGAAACATGTGTACAATGAAAATGAGGAAGAAAGATAGTCAGCTTGACTGGGTAACAATCAGAAGTGGAACAGAAAAAACGTTGAAATATAGAAATAAGAACAGTAAGGGAACTTCCAACAAAAATGACATCAGTGTAAGACTGAAGATTTCATCTATAAAGATCACTTACCCACAGTTGCTCGGGACCGAGCTGAGTATCTTTTTGTCTTGCTGCTCGATGCAGTGTTGTCCCTCTGGGCTGTCTCACATTCTTTCTCCATCTGGGAGGTCAGCTCTTGGGCCACGGTGCTGAGGTAGGCCACATTGACAAAACCGAGGATTCTGTGAGGCTCTGTGAGTCTTGAAAGAATCTGGAGATCCTCTGTCAGGGCTCGAGTCAGATATGGGACTGCGTTGCAGAAACTCAGTGCCAGTCTGTCAAAGCCAGTCTCCCCGCCTGGGCTGGAGCTCAGGCTTGTGTGCAGAATACTCTCCACATGCTGGCGTTTTAGGCCCTGGAGACACAAATTCTAATAAAGCATTTGTATAATCACTAGTAAGCTGTTATATATGTAATGAATAATTTAACAAACACCAAAACAATAATTATGTTAGACAAAAAAGAATCATGTATAAATGTCAAAAATTAAAAAAGGGAATCTGTTTTGGGAAACATAGAATAAGGCTTTTCATAATACTGCACCTGGTAATGTGTGAGCACCTCACAATCGGGGTAAAGAAAGAATAACTGCTGAAGGTAGTGGACCTGTTCAAGAATGCTCAAGGTGGAAATTTCTATGGATACAGGATGTTCTGCGCTACGACATGACAACTGATCCATCAGGTAGCGACGCAGCGGGAGACGCACAGCATCCCAGGCTTCCTGGAGCTTCAGGGAATAATCAAAGTCTAAGTATCAACGTTTAACTTCAGAAACTAAACACAGGTAATTTAATTGCTGCTAAGATGAATTTAAAAAATCATGTTGATTCAAACTAAATTCAGTCAAAATAATTCATTACCTCTAATGAAGTGTCATCTCTGACTGCATGTACCTCCTGAACTGAGGAGCCAGTCATTTGAGGATGAATGGAGGAAGATGAGGTTGAAGAAGATGGCGTACAAGGAAAGCAGACGCCACATTGGGATGACAGATTCAACAGCAGCTGAAGTGTCACCAGTTCTTTTCCTTCTTCTTCCGATCTCAGATACTGTTGCTGAATAGAAGAATGTGAATATGAGGTTCACTGGAGGAAGCAGAATTTGACCAGGAGATATGACAAACCAAGCATGACTGTATTATTAAGCAAAGACCTTCTTAATAACTGCAACAATTAATGAACACTATTAGTGGAATGCCTATGTATGCAGTGTGATCATATATGTAAGAAACAGCATAAATATTACTTTAGTTCATTAGCAGCAAGCAGGGTCATTTATAGCAAGGCTTTTCTTCTAGCTTAACTTTTGACATGTACAATAATAAGTGCTGCAGTGTTTGTAATCCTCAGAATCAGCTTGCATCATCAACATCATCCTGATGAATTACCAGGGCTCTGAGGAAGTCTATAAGCTCTTGATATCCTGTGGTAACAGGCTTAGCGGTGTTTTGTGCTCTGATGTTGAACCATTGTAAGCACTCCGTAGGACTCGGTGGACGATCCCCGGCTCTAGAGTCTCCCATTTTGGCCTGGAGCTCCTTGAGCTGCTGCTCAATGCTTGAGTGAAAAGGAAAAACATTATTGAGGACTAGGAAACTTGCTTATCAATGTTAATAACAATTTAGCACAGTGCAATCCTGACTACAAAAGAAGTTTCACATTTAAACAAAATGTCTTATATCATAGTATTCTTGAAATGACAAGCTTTACATAATGACTTGTCTGGGTAAGACTATCATACAGCCACCATTTTGTCAGTATTTTAATTTTACTTCCTTCTTTGCTAACTTGTGATAAGTTTAAATATTTTACTGTCAACAGAGTTCTGCCTGTCAGAGGAGACAAAAAACACAAACCAATGATTAAACATTAACAAATAGAGACACCATGGCTGTACCACAAACAGACAAAGAATACAAAAATACAAGTTGTATTGCAGTCAAACAAAAACATAGACACCAACCCTACACGTGTGTACAGTACACACCACATCTCTTTCGGTTTAACCTTGCTCTCATTCAGTGTCTATACTATGAGAAGACAGATGCAGACGCATCACCAGTAATGAACACAGACATGTAGAAATCAGTATGTGAATGTCTACTAAGAATTTGGCGTAAAGAAGCATTACAGGCATCAGCAGGCATCTGAGATACACACTTCTTGCCATCTCATGTCTTATTCGCTCCCTTGACACACATACACAAACACAGCTCTTTTGATGTTAACAGAAGGCATCAGCTATTCAGTTTTCCTTTTAATATGACAGATTAGAAATGACAACTTTGGGCTTGACATGTTTAGTCATTTCCATGCAAATCGATGCATATATATTTGGATGCAAGACATTGTCATTGTGGGTGTGTGCCAATATACCTGAATAATTAAACACTGCTATGTATTATACTCTACTTCTTTGTTCACCTGTGGTTGTGTATTCACAAATGTACATACGTGCATGTGGCTCCATAAATGGACGCATGTAATAAACCATGGTAGTGGGGATGAAACGAGTAATTAGATGGACCGTCGCTTAATGACCAAAAATCAATAAGGGAATAAAATTAAGATCCATGAAATATAGGTCTTTTCATGAAAGACTGAATTAAATTGGATCTGTGAACACTTGTCATAACGTTTTCTGACTAAATTTTTAATCAATGATTTAAACAAATAATGAACAGAAACCTGACACATACTGATCACTCAAACATGAGTCTGTGCGTGTGTTTGTGTTAGAAAGGCAGAATGCCATTCTCTCATCAGCCAGCTCATCTCCCTACCACAGGTCTTAAAACTGCCTCTCACTTGCTCCAAGGCCATGAATATATCCAGATGTCTTGCAATGGCAGCACATTAAATAACCGTTCAATCTGACACACTTTCGTTTCAGAGGGGGAAAACGCAGGGGGATAAAATGTTATAGACCGTTACAATCTGCTATCCTCTAGACTGAACGTTCCCGAACGATATTGCTCTTTTTCACATTAACTACCAGCCCCTGCCTCTCTTCTGTTCTTTTTTAGTCGGGCCACATAATGCAACTCACTTTATTTCCTTGTCATCCATTGTGCTGACATAACAACTGATTATACAATACAATTTCCTTGTGTACTAAAAAGAATTTGATGCCAGGTAATACATGTTACATATTTCCAGAGCTTCAGTAAAAAAGGCCCTCACCAAATGTTTCCGACTTACCTTGTGTGTCTTTGATATCTGCTTTCATTTAGACTTAATATAAAGAGGAGACTTTGTGATACATTGTATGAGACCTATCCTCCCCCATGGCTCAGGACGGCTGATGACTGTAAGTGGGAACACTGAATATAAACCATTTCAAAATGCTGATTTATTCATTATTAATTTGTGCAACCTCTTAGCAAGCCTTCTCCAACAAGAGATTATTGCAGCTGTGTGCAAAAAAATAGCTTTGAATAAATTCAACCTTTAGAAATGTAGGCAAAAGTGATCTAAGAATCTAAATAAATCAAATCAAATCTAAGAATAAATCCAACATTAAGTTAAGTTCCTTAAGTTACATTAAGGATTTTGTACTGTATGTAATTTATGGTAAGTCATAAACATGTTCATTTGGGGCTCCACCTCAGGACTTTTCAAAACAGCAGGTTTGAAATGGGCTTCCATCTGTAGCTCACTTTCTCTGAAGTTCATTAAAACGTAAAGTAGACTCAACTATTAACTTTATTCTTTCCTAAAAGTTTTCTTGCTAAACATGTAACTTGTAAACAATCCAGAGCCTGACTGCCACCTAATGTCAATAGCTGATGTACAAGACAGCTATATATAAACAGGAAGGATAATGTTTTTTTTCTCCAGTTCTCTGTGAATTTACTCAGACCATAACTCAAGAAAACAATGCGCTCTAATGATTACAGCCACATCAACTGCCTCACAAGACACATTTTTAGGCCCGGTCAAGTTAAGCGACTTATTCATTTATTTCTTCCCAGAACTCTTACTTTTCTCATTTTGTTTTTCTACTCTCTCCTTTCAATTACCCCTTCCTTAAGGCCTTGTGCTGTAGGTTATTAAGTCAATGTGGATGGACTGTGTCAAGAAGTCCATCCAGCTCTCTACAATATAGTGACCTTTTGCTCGCTGGTGTGAATGCTACCTGCAGCCTAATCAACTTGGCAGGATTAGCTCCCAAACTGATGGCTTCCACTGCCCACTGCTCGGAAGCTGAGGAAAGACAGTATGATAGAAAAGAAAGGTAAAAAAATGGGTGGAAAACAGACCAGCCACAAAAAATAAAACCATCCAGCTTTCTGTGTCGAGACAACAATGGACGAACCTTTAATGGCAAAACCGCCAGAGCAGAGCTCAATAAAAGACCAATAGAATGAGAAAAGAGGCAGAGGAAACTAGGAGGAAAGGATCTTTTAGGCCACTTGACAAACGTGTCAGTCATTTTACTTTTGCTCCAACTAATACACACGCACACTTGTACTTCCACCGCGGAAGTGAAATCCAATTGTTATTCAGACCAGTTCAGCTAGACAGTCGACACCACAGCTGCAGCCCCCCCACCCCGCCATCCTTCCCCACTGCTGAGAGAGAAGGAGAGCAACTGGAGGTCTTTTATTAGATATGATGGCACATTTCACAGCTCCCTGACTTACAGAAACCCAATCCAGCGATTAGTCAGCGCTTTGACGTTATCTTAAGTTCCTTGTCAGAATTAATTTAGTGTGGGTGGGCTGCTGTGGGGCTGTCTGTCTGTCGCGCTCCACTCCCCTGTGCTTGCCAGCGGGAGGTGGGGGGCAGGAGACAACGGGGGAAGGGAGATCCTTTTCAAATAAGCCCAACCTTTGGACGGTGCCAATGCAGCTACCTGAGAACTAAATATCTCCCCCATCAAAAGTTGCCATTCTGTGAGCGAAAAAGGACTGGATGGACTTGAATGAACAGGCTGAAAACAATCCTGTCCTGGCCCAGCCTGTTGTCCACTTAGTGCCCTTAGCCACCCAGCCCAGTCAATGACACCAGAGATCTGATACAGCTGATATACTTACTTAACACACGTGTCATGCACAGCCAAACACAATCTCAACTACAGTCTGCAAGGATTCCTGAATTGGTATAATTGCAAGCTGGAAAGCAACCTTGCACGGTATTTTACCACGGCAGGGTTTTTATTCTCAGAGGCTCCACACAGTCAAAATCCAGATTTAAAGAATCATTCCCACAAACTCACACTCACAGAAGTATTGATGCATCCTGATCAAGATTGGCAGGCGACTAGTGAGAGCCATTTGCCTTGCCAGTTTGAAATCAGAAGCCTATCTTTACACTCCAAGCCTGAGCTGACACTTCATTAGTGGTCTTTTCCTGGTGGCCCACCCCATCCGGCTTGACTCTGCACCCACCCTTGCACTGTCCCATCTGATGAAAATTAATGGATTACAGCATTTCAATTTGGGGGCGCCAGCTCTATTGTCAGCCTATCTTAATCTCTTTCAATTAAGGAGCAGCTTTCAGGCAGATCTCTGACATCTGAGAACTGGGAGCAGGCCAGTGACTCTGACCTATAAACAGGTTGAAGTCCTTCATGGAGGCAGGCATGTCCTTATCCTTCATCTCTCAGTTACTCTTTCCTCTCTTCCACTTCCGTAATTTGTCCTGGTCACTGATAAGTCGGCTGGGCTGCAGGTGAGTGAGCTGCCCATGTGAGTGTGGCTGTGTATGTATATTCAGCCCACCCTGGTTGAGGCAAACGTGAGGCCTAACAGGATTAGATATCCCAAGATGTGTCTTTACAGACAACAGGTTGTCTTGTAGAAGTCTAAGAAGAAGTCAGCTGCAGTCTGACGGAGATACTGACCAGTGGTACCCCATTGCAGGAGGAGGATTGCCTTATTTTTAGCCCCATTCTCCATTATCTGGATGCTTTGTTCTCATAATGGTTATCCCTCTCCCATCTGCAGGAACACAAAATAACCCTTTAATGCTTAGAAAGCAGAAAAATGGCCTGGCCTTCAGTAATAAGCCTTGAATTACCTACCCAAGGGTTTTCGTTTCAAGATGTGGAATCTTCAATTATTATGTTCCCATTTAGAAGGAGGAAGGAAAGAAAAAGAGAAAAGTGAGGGAGACAGTGAGGGAGAGTCAAGAAGGGATGAGTCTCAGACACTAATGGTCCCAGAGTAAGGCTTTGTTCACTTGCTACATTTAGCCTGTCCTTCATAGTCTGCCCTCAGCCTCATAATACCACAAACGATAAAAATCGGAAATATGGATTTCTTTTTTTCCTCCATTGTATCAACATCCTGGTCTTTATCAGTCTATTTATGCTCTTAAACTATCTGCATCTGCCACTAAAGATGCATATCTGTATGCCATACAGGTGAAAATGTAGCAATATTTTAATAAGATGTGGTTATTTGAAGCATCATTCTTCTTTTTCTTCTTTCGTGCAGTGCATCATAATGTATCAAAAATATTGCTTATAAGTGCAAACATGTTGGATTTGATTATTGAACCTAAGACTGAGAACAAAAAAGCCACGCAAGCCACTTTTCCTTTTAGCCACACAGATTCTGCAGGGACCTGTGTCATGATTTTATTACGTATGCATTTACAGAAGTTGGTTCCCTTGTGAAAAAACAGTGAATGTAAATTTTTAGTTTTTTTTAAAGAAAAAAGCTAAAGTAAGATATCTTTCAAAGACAATGAAAGTCTGATTAAAGGAAGGGTCAAAGTTAATGTAGAAGTAACATAAACTCCATCCATCCATTATCAATACCGCTTATTCCCTCATGGGGCCGCGGGGGGGAACTGGAGCCTATCCCAGTGGTCAACGGGCAAGAGGCAGGGTACACCCTGGACAGTCCGCCAGTCCATCGCAGGGCAACAGGACATACAAGGACAAACAACCACTCACACTCACATTCACTCCTAAGGGCAATTTCCCCAATCTCCAATCAACCTAATATGCAGGTTTTTGGACTGTGGGAGGAAGCCAGAGAACCCGGAGAGAACCCACGCAGACACAGGGAGAACATGCAAACTCCACCGAGAAAGGTCCTGGTTCCCCCGGGATTCGAACCCAGAACCCTCTTGCTGGGAGGCGACAGTGCTAACCACCACACCACCGTGGTGATAAAGAGAAATAGTCACTGAGAGAGGAAGAGAGAAAACTTAATTTACTTGTTGACTTGTTCCCATATCCTTGATTGTTTAAGCCCCCAAAGATTGCATTAATTCAAATACCTCCTTGAAGTAGCTACTATATAAATAAACCACTGAATTCAGCAACCAGTTCATGTAAATTAGTTCTAGAAAAGGCATTTGTTCTGCTCACAAGTGTCGGCACGATAAAAATATCACTTATCAATGTTACCTTAATTTCAGTTAGCAAATTAATAAACAAACCTTATGCATTGGAAAACATCATAAAAATACTTTGCACTTATTTGGTTTTGAAGCAACTTAGCTACTCCTGCCTGTTTTCCCCCCTTGCTCTTCCATGATAACTAATCTATGTGTCCCAAACGTCAGAAAAGAAAAGACGGCCTGTGCTGTGATCGCGACAATGTGGGTGGTGGGATAATGTTTACATAGAAACATTTAGTTGTTGAAAGCTCATACACTATATTCACTTATTTAATGAAAAAGCCCATTCTGAAAAAAAAACCTGCCAAGATTAGAGAACTGAAAAGTTAACCTTTACTTTTCATATAAGTAACATTATAAACTATGCTGTCTTGTGGGTCCTCTTAAATATTAAGTTGTCAGTCTGAATAAAGTTGATCTGAATGGCTTTAATTTCAACAATAAACAATTATTAGGGGCCGACTAAACAAAAAATGACAGCTCGGTGATGTGAAATTATGAGAGTGCAAACCTCATTATTCTTTATAAATTTGGTGATGAACAAATATGACACATGAGGTCTGCACCTTCTGTCTCTCTGACTGACCTGCAGGCATTAAGATTGAGTTTTTCCTCTGTGTCTTTGAGAAACTGCTCAAAGTCCAGATCACTGGAAAACCCTGGAATCAGTAGCTCCACAGAGGCATGATCGTCAGGAAAATCTCCAGGCCATTCCATGATGCTCTGCAAGAGAGAGAGAGAGAGAGAGAGAGAGAGATGGCCTCATATTAAAACACCATCTTTGTTGTACTCTAGTTCATAAAACAAAATAATACAAAAGGTATCACTTGTGTTAGTGCTGAATTATCAATGTAGTGACATCAATCAGTGGCATGATCTGGAGTGCATTATCACAGCTGTCTGTCAAGAAACATCCACACTCATGTGGGCTACAATAATTTGAAAAATCCTCCAACAGGAGTCTTATTAGAGGGCACAAATCAATTTCACCTGAGACAAAGGGAAGCTTATCATCTACAAAAGCTGCAGTTCCCCTCCCCTTTTTGTCAGAAAATGATTTGCGGTAGGAGGGACCCTGATCAAAATGCATTGCCTCAGCCTCTAACCATTTCTGCCTTCTGTCAGAACAATGAATTAACGCAGGGGGGGAACTAAATAAATAAACAATGAGGTGAGATTCTTTTCTGTGAAGACTTCATATAAACAGTAGGTCTGTTGGAGTACTGAAGGCGCCCCACCACCCCACCCCTACCCCCCGGGTGCTTAATGCTCATGCTAACAGCCTATCCCACGCTGGTGCCGCGCTGCTAGGTCTCATATCCACACTGTCATCAGCGCGAGTCAAGTGGAAGGTAATGGAGAGTGTCTGTGTCAATTTGGCTTTCTCACACTCCGCCTCTCGCCCCTTCCTCGTCATCTGCTCTGATTTTAATAATCCTTGTCAAACTCCAAACAGCTCCCCGTACGCTGCTGTGCTTCTTTGCCGCTGCATACAGTCTGCCATTCTGCCTGACAGGGTAGACAGGAAGCTCAACATTCATTTAGCCCGCACAAAGGGAGGCCTGTCCAGCTGGACAAATATTATTTTCCTCTGCTGACAGCCTCACCAGTTAAGCTTGTCCTTTATTATTTCTCCCTCTCTTCTCTACTACCTCTTCCCCTCATCATCACACTCCCTCTGCGCCACTGTGCGATAAATGGTCTGAATGCAGTCATTGCTGAAAGGGTAGAATAATTTCAATCCTTGGATTGGTGAGTTCCATAGAACTCACATTGTAATGATAAGAACTGAGAATAGCACTGTGTCTTTGTGCAAACATCCTACAACACTATACTCATGTTTAGGTGTATAAAGGTTACAAAAACAGATGCACAGTGGGTTTGAAAGCCCTCAATATATTTGTGCAGAGTGTCTACACATTATCTGTTTTTCAGAAGGTTAGAGTATAAATGTAGGTGTATGAGTGTTAGAATTCACCAGGCAGCACACAGGGCCTCATTAGTACTATACTTTAAATCATCCAGTCTCCATTGTCTTGTCATTAGCTCTTTAGAAAGCAGATGTTAGACAAGCCCCAGTGTGTTTCAAAGTGTTGCAGCAGGGACAACTGGGCCAGGCACTGAGAAGCCGCCTGCCTGACACATCTACACCGCGACTATTAGAACACAAGCAAAAATGCAGTTTCTGAAAGATACACACACACCACATGTCACTGTTCATCTCTCTTGCTGCTGCCTGTCTTCTCCAGCTAGGCTAACACACAGGCCCATTTACAGTAATGAGTTTGTCCTGAAATATTTAGCAGCATATCCCCCAGGCTGCTGCTTTAAAACCACTTAGAGCATGTCATGTTTAAGTCAACATTATTTCAAGGGGAGGTATCCAACACTCTGCTGTTAAGGAAACATAATAAATTAAATAGGTGCATTTCCGAATATCACAACAGTGCAAAAAGCTGTTTCATGTATATCCCAGGGGACGGCCTGGTTTCACTGTTAGTATACAACCATGTGCCTCTGCAAGTTCACTGATTCTTAATCACTTTTCATCTTGGAAACAAATGCTAGTGTGATTAGCATGCAATGGGGGAATGCAATGGGGGAATGAATAATATAATACAAACTTAACTATTTGTTGTTTTATTGGGAACACCCACAATTATTCAACAGTTTTAAATGAGTCAGCTGGTGGAGCAGATCACATCACATCATCTGCACTCAGTTTTTAATCCAAACTTAAATATGTATTACATTTGAAAATATTTCAATTTCGGTAGCTGGAGGTGCCAGCCCCTGAAAATTAACTAAACCCAATTACAAAAGTCTTCAAGTCCAATAATTTGGCTTGAAATGTGTGTCCATGATTAATCAGTGAGGATCTTTTCAACATGTTGAATTGCACAATTTTAATCTAAACCCAATTTGTTGTGTTCTTTTTATTGTTTGGGTCTGCTCTTAAGTTTAAAGGCATATTACTGTAATCTGTCTCTCGTTTGATATCATTTTATGTAGATCCTATAGGAGTATTTGATATACATCTCAGTAGATAACAGAATTAATTGATTAGCTGAGTTGAATTGCTAAAAATGTCATTTTCATCTGATCAGATTGTTTTATTAAAAGACCCATTAGATATTAGTAAGACAAGCTGTGAATCATATCAGCAGAGAAAAAAACAATAATAAGTGTCAAAATTGTTGGATAATTTATCTAATGCTTATGTCTTATGCTGACGCTACACAACAAACATAAACGCGCGCAGCGTCACAGGTAAAAGCGGCGGACCTGTTGACCACGTGACCAGAAGACGCCTCGGCGGCCTCTGTTTAACAACAAGTCGCTCATTGGCTATCGATGATCAGATAGTATCTGTATATTGCTAAAGTGGAGTCGCTTCATCTCATCAATTTCAATAAAAAGTAAAAATATGTTGTTTTTAGTTTTGTATTTATTTATTTTAGAATTAAACCAAATGCGCGGGGTTCGCCATTATTTGGAGTATCTTACCGTTTACAGGCTCCTGTTAATCCATTCCGTGTTAATCCAATTCGGGCATGAGACAAACATTCTTCGCCGTCACTTCAAGCTGATATTTGCCCACGACAAAATATATGAGGCTATAACAAAAAGCGAGACATCCAATATACCACCATGTAATATCATTTCATTGCTGTAACTGATAGCTTATCTGTCGCTGTCGCTGAACAGGACAATGCACGGAGCGTTTTTTTCCAAATATCCGTGTCGTGTTAACTCTGTTGCAGAAAGAACAATTATTGTTATTGACAGCGATCAACTAAGTACCCCGTTACTCTGTCAGTGTTTATGATACCTGTTATTTTTGGTTAGTTCCGGGACAGAAAGCGTCCGTGACAACAACCTGGAAGTAGCTCTATGAAAACTTCCGTATAGTGGAAAATACCAACTCACCCTCTAAACAGAGGTTTAAATTTAGCAGAAGTAGATGGCAAACACGTTTTTATTACCGGTAGCTGAGTAAATATAATACCATGCGATATTCATAACATTTACAAACGTATTTTATTTAAATGCATTGCATTTTAGTTGGTTATGATATATACAAACCACGTAGTAAAATGTTGACATCCCTCCGTCATTAAAATAGTTATTACCATCGTGGAGCTGTTTCTACTGTTGGGTGGTGAAATCATTGACGGATCAAATGCAAATCCACTATTTATCAACATTTAAGAGCACAGTCATCTTATACGATTGATTGCAAAGTTGAACATTTAGTAGAAAACAGTTGTCGTATGCTTTTTCATCACTTCTCTCTTCGCTGGATGTCTGTTCTGAGTTTTGGCGCGCCTGGACGGACGTAACTCGTCACTGGTAAACAGGTACTGATCAGTCGTGCTGCCTCAAATGAGACATATGGTAATAACACCGATGAGTGGCTTTATTTTTTACATTTGAACTTTACTTGATTCTACTTTACTAGAATAAGTATCTATGTCAACAGTGTTCAACAAGCACATGTGTCCAATAGTTTCAGTGCATAAGTTTTCGTGGTTCAACTGTGGTAACAATTTTAAAAGTTAGTGCTATGATTGCAGGGAGTAAAACATGTTGTCAGTGCATAAAGCTGAGATATGAAAATAGGTATATAATAGTTCCTTGTTGATGCAAATCTGCATGCCATGTGGAATTGATTTCCGTGAGAAGCCACAGCAACTGTAGCTATCTAAACCATGACCATGGAAAGAGAGTGTTTGTTTGTTTTTGTCCCAAATGTGTCACAGTGCATGCTTGTGCAAGACTGACAACATGAGCAGGGTACTCACAGGTTATCATAAGTGATATTACTCATGTTGCAATGGCACATTACAAAGGGGACTGTCATTTTTTAAGCATTAAAGATATTGTATCAGCATCCTCTTATCTTATGGAGAAGATTTCTGAGTTGGATGAGTGTGTATGTGAATCACATAAAAAGGGCATGACATGTCTGAACCACTGACTTTGTCCTGCTGTGGAGAGTTTTTGCTGAAATTGTCTACATTGACATGGGGAGAGGGGTCGTGTACAAAGTTGCTCTAAATGATAATCCCTTTCCTTTTGATCATCATCCCGATGTGGTGATGGGATCTCCCAGTGTGTCAGTGCTCCTGTCGATGGTGCAAAAAGGCTGAATGTTTTGGTGATGATAAAAATGAGCAAATTGTATGTCATGGTCCACATTCAACCGATTTAAACAAATATGGACAATTTTGGATGTATCTCTTTGGCAGAGCTTCAGTCACCACCAATGTATTAAACGAGAGAATGTTTTTTAAAGTAATGTTCTCTTTTGAGTAGTGTTTCACAGACTTGCAATACTGGTCCATGGAAGCTATTACAAATGTTTTTTCTATCCATAAAGCTTATTATAGTTTATTGTAACTTTTTTTAAATCAAGTTGTTCCTAGATTAGATGTCACAGAAAATACAATTGTACCTTTTGCAATTTTCAAATAGATGGTGTCTATCATGACCTTTTTTTCCTTCTTTTCTTTGGAAGTAGTTAGTGTCATGTAGTCAAACAAGAAGTGCAGGATAATCCTCATCATCAAAAGCTGTGACACGGACCATTTGGTTCAAGCTCCTTTTTGTTTGTTTTTTGGCAGAATGGAGAGAAGCAAACATGTTTTCCAGATCTCTGGGATCAAAAGCCCTAATAAGAAGAGAGTTTTGGTTCATGGAATTCACCAACTGGGTGGAAAGTACATTGGTGGCTCGGTGAGTTGACATCTGATTTGCATGCAACTCAAAGCCTCAAGTTCTTTTTTCAACTTTCAGTTTATGTTCATGGTATTTAACCAGTTTTTCTGGTGTGTGTGGCATTTAGTTAATTTAACTTTAGTTTAGGTTGAACTAAAGCCGTTTTGAATGGGTGATGTTAGTAGACCCAGGTCTTAAATGAATGGCTTACATTTTTCATACAGACTGTTTTGACTGACATGTTTTGGTGTATAGTTTACAATATACTCGTGAATTTGTTCAGTTTTATTCGTGCTGGATCTACCTGTAATTTGTGACTAAACTAACACCATGGTTAAATTATAGGTATATCAGCATTCCAGCACCCACCTAATAATCCCCCAGGTTTTGTCCAGTGAGAAATTTTTGGCAGCCTGTGCAGCAGGTCAGTTATTATGATTCTTATTTTATAAAGGAGGAACTGTTTAATTTCTTGTTTCATTTTACATGTTTGGTTAACTGCTGAATCTTACAGTTGACTGCATGATTTCCCCTCTGTCAGAGTCACAGTATTAACACGAGCCTTTTCATTACTGCTTCCCACCTGCCAGGAAAATGGGTTGTGACTCCAGACTACGTGTTAGACAGTGTGAGGAACGGTTCCTGGCTTGCAGAGGGACCCTATGAAGTCGCCATTTCCATAAAACCCTCAGTTTCCTTCTACCCAGTCAGACAGTGGAGGGAGAAGATGACCAATGAGGGAATAACCGGAGCTTTCCAGGGCTGGAGAGTACTCCTCGTGGTTCAGGAGCCCACCAGAAGAGCCATGTTCAAACGGTGATTAACTTCTCAAAAGTGGATTAATCCACATAATATTGCTGTGTGAGCAAAGTACAAAGAGAAAATATTTTTTTTTGTTCTTGTCCAGGCTGCTAAAAGCGGGCAGGGCAGAAGTATATGATAATACTCCACCTTCTTTCATTTCCATCACTCATGTCATGGCGAAACCTGTTATAAAGAACAATAAATACCATAATGCTCCTTGCTATCCGGTGAGCTACATAGTCCAGCATCTCTTTGGGGTAAGTCAATCTTATTTATGGAAAATATACAGTAATAATTGTATGAGGCTTTATTATATCACTTAAATTTGCTATGTCTGCAAAAATATTTTTAGAGGATTCAAAAGGTAGATTGAAAAAATATTAGATGAGAGAAATTTGCCAAAACTTTCACAAAATCACAGTTTGTTTGACCAAAAATTATGTTTTGTTGTTGAAGAGTCAGCATGTTGATGGTGTTTTTAAAAAAGTGCCATAAGATGTCCTGAAGTGAGCAGTTCACATAAGTCAAGAGTAAAAACTGTTCTGTTCTAAGGAATATGTGACAATGATCCCTGACAAATATGTTACTACAGTAACATATTTGTCAGTTACTAGAAAGATGAAGCTATTCAGTTGGATTTTCTTGATTTACGTTTCAGAACTTTCATGTGAAGAAATACTCTAAGTCGTTTTGAATATACTCCATTCATTGATGTTGAAAAAGCTTTTTTAAAGGTCTGAAATGGTGTGCGATTTTGTTTTGACAGGGTAATCATGTGAATATGAGTTTCAACATAATAGATGATCATCTGCCTGTCAGAAAATCCAGTGTTCTTGATCATGACCTCTCTAGTTTGGAGGCAGAGCTCAAAAGCTACGCTATTAAAAAGGAGGTTTGTATCTGTGGTTTTATATGTGTGAAACAATGCCCAACAAGACTTTGGAAGAAGATATTAGACATAATCGAACAGATTTTAGTTTGTATTCTTCTCACCTATTTAACCTTGTTTGCCTTTTTCTATTCTTCATGTTGCTGATGGGGAAATTTCCTTTAGGGTCGACCAAGAATGTGCTTCCTGGAATTTCTGGGTTACAATGACCCCTATCGCCCCCACTCACAGGTAGACATGCAAACATTTCAGCACCTTGCCATGACCACTACTATACACACATCTACAAGATAACTACCTGTTTCATCAAGAAGATCAGGTCATTCAATTTCCTTTATGTCATAGTTTTCGATGAGAAGTGACATCAAGAGCAAGTGCGCGTCAAAACCAGGTCACTGATTTAACCACCACCCTTAGCTGATCGGAGAGCTTTGATTGGCAGACCTATTAACAATGCTCTCCATTTTCCTGCCCATGCTTTACCCAAGTGGACAACTGTCAGATTGCTATTAGAGGTGCTCTTGTATTCCCATTCAGTGCTTTCAGAATCCATATGCTATTTGGTAATAAGCAACAGTCAGAAATGACCCACAGGAACTTTTGATGTCCATTCAGTACTTATTTCCATTACCCTTCTGGCCCCACTCTACTCTTGTTCTCGCTGCTGTCTGTCTCTTTGATTACCGTGTTTCTCCTTCCCTTCCATATACCTCTTACATTTAAGCATTGTTCTAATATTGCTCCAGGCGATAGTAACGGACCTCAGCAATGTCGGTAGTATGATCGAGTGCGGCCTCTTCACTGAAGCCTTGGACTCCATCAGAGCTGCTTTGTTTCCAGGCTTGTTGCCACCTGCAAAATACCTGATCTCCCTCTTAGAATATGCGCAGCAGGTAAGACCAGAATTACCTGACTACAAAAATGTCTTAACAGGCTTATTAGTGTTGTTGTAAACTGTCATTTTTAAAACACAACAGGAAGTTTGTCTTTAAAACATGACTTGAAATGTTTGAGATGTTAAAAAATGTATCACGGTGAAGAAGCGGAAACCAGCTCAGGTGTTTTTTTTTATTCTCTAAGAATTTTTATTGAGTATAGGTCATTGAGTTTGTTGTGCTTGTGTCACAGGGTAATGCCTCATCAGTGTTCCTGAGAAATGTCCACCAGGTTATGGATAATTTACTTGTTACCAGCACTCCATGGAGAACTTCCAATACAGTGAAAAAGTATTTCATGCAAGTTTTGCAGTGTCCTCAGTGTAAGGGGGGCTTGTGGCCTTTTCTAGAGACAGCCATCAGGTAAACCTGATCTTCAAATGATTTTGAGATTATTTGTTTCAGAAATGATGTTGATCCCATCTGAACAGCAACCGTTTCTTTTGTGAAGGTACTGCTTGGCCAGTGACGTCACTTGTCACCCGCTACCTGGGCCTGCCCTGCCAGCCCTGGTTCATTTTCATGGCGACATCCTTGCATTTTGTCTCAAGCTCTTCCAGGCAGAACTCTTTGCTATTAACAGCGGGTAATTTATGCGCTTTACTGTGTTTAGTTTTTTTTTTCTCACCAAAAATCAGCAAATAATTCCATTGCCTCATAATATGTATCTGTACTATAACCAGAAACCTCCCTGCCTTTCTGTCCCTCAGAGACTTTGCTTCGCTCCAGGGTCCACAAGTCTCATCCACATCCACATCAGGCTCGATCATGTACAAAACCTTCTGGACTGTGTGGGAGCGCACCACGCTGTTGTCTTCTACTGTGAAACAACTAACTCAGTTCTTAGTACAGGCTGCTATTGTGGTAAATGTTTTGCTAATTACAAGTGCTACTCATACCCCTCAACCACATCATTTGGAATTTTTGGCGAGCCATTCTAATCATATTACGGTTAGTTATGAGGTATAATGTTGTTTAACCTCACTGAAGGATTATGCTGAGAGTGAGGAGAAGCAGGATCTGCATTTGGCTGACACTCTGCTGGACCTGCTGTGCGTGTTGGTGGAGTTCTGGTGTCAGCAGCACTTTAAACTGAACCAGTGCCTGGTGGAAAAGGGCCTTAAAGACCTGTCTGAGCACCTTGCTGTTATTAGCCAAGGTATGGACACAAAACAGAGCAACAGGAAAAACCTTGAGGAGAAATTGAATATGTGTTTGTTGCCGATTGCCCATTGTGTTGTCCTTGGGTTCATATCTGACATATTTTGACTGAAATGTTTTTCACAAACTCAGTGGATGTAGAAAGCAGATTAACCATTGAATATAAATGTGTCTGCTCTCTTAATCAGAAGTTTTACTTAAACAAAAAAATGTTTTGCCTTTATTTGGAAAGAACTTGTCCTCCCTGGGTGTACTCAGAGTTATATTTTTCTGTTTCCTCCTGTAGATTTATCCCTGGCTGTTCTGGTAGAGCTGGTTGCCAGGGTTCGTTCCACCAGGCTTAAGTTAGTGATGGCTGATGCCATATTCAGGACACTTTGCTGCAGAAATGGATTCGCAGTGGGAGACGAGCCTCTCTCTATCAAGAAAATGGTGTGTGTTCACTCTCTGCCTATTGTTTCATACATTCTATTTGACTGGTGGGCTTATATTTGCTTTACAGTGACAAGCAAGTAGTTTTGTGGAAAGATGGGAGATGATAAGAAAGATGAAGCTATCATGTTGTTTGTTTCTTTTTAACTGTGAGTAAGTGAAAATATAAGTGTACTAAGTTTGCATCATCTCTTTGCCTAACAAGATATATTCAGTATATATATCTCTACAGTGCATTTTTAATGTCAAAGAATGCCTACATTGAATATCCACAGAAAACTGAATAAAAAGAGCAAATGTTCATTCACAGTGGTACACCTCTGCCTCACTCAGTCTTTACTGGCCAATGCCAATCATGAAATTGCAGATGATTGTCCCTTACAATCTAATGAATGAGATACTGATATGTCAACCTAGAACTCATTTATGGGTTTCTTCCATTAGTTTTTTTTTTTAACTAAACCTTAAAGTAATTACCGTGTTATTGGTGAACAAAATCATTAAACTCTGCAATTCTATTTACACTTATACCTGTTTGAAAAGAATATACATGTATAAAGTAGCCGCAAACAAGCAATAAAAAAAGGCAGAAGTGATTCATGTAACAATCCCAAACGACAGCACTAAAATTACCATTTCAATTAAAAAAAGGGTTACAGAGCATTTTGGAAAGATGAGAGAAATGATGGCATGTGTGGTAGGAGTGGGGCATTTATGACTGTGATCCACAAGCTGGGTTAGAGACTCCAACAGATCACTGGAAACCGTGCTCTGACCATCATATAATGTTGCAGTTGAACATCTGGTTGTCTCCTGACACTGATATCTCTGAGCCTCCTCAACTCCTTAGGGACACCCACATCCACTTGAAGTGTAAAGGCATTGTCTCACCTTGTGTATGTCTGTTTGACTTCTGACAGGTGCTTTCTTACCTGCCTGCTCTAGGAAGTTTAGCTCACAGTCCCAGCAGTGATCGCCACAGGACTGGACCCAACTCACACAGCTGCTCCAGGGAAGGGACCAGCTGCAGGTCAGTTACACGCAGCTGTTTGTCCATAATAAATACAACTCTGTTAGTTTATGTTGTGCATTCTCACATAAGCCTGAAGCAAAACATACCATAACAAATATGCAGAGGTGGAATCTTTGCAAAGGTCGTTGTAAGACTCCAGCGAATCTGCCAAACTCGTCTCAAACTAGTTGAAATAGCTTTTATTTGTGCTGTTCCAAATATGTGTGTCTTTTGAACGTCTAGAATAACTGAACTGAACTGTCCTTCGTTAAGTTTCAACCCACATAGTTGTGGATAGACACAAAATACGGGAAAACGTACAAATCAGTTGGAATGTACGAGTTCAAAAGGAACAAAAGAGCACCTGGAGAGAGGATTGAGTTGAGGTGAAGATGATCGAAGATGCATGAATAGTGGTTGGGGGCTGTAGACAGACAAGTAGAGGTCAGACAGAGCATGAGGAGCTGCCATGTGATGGGTCATGCCCAGGTCTGATCCTATCAGTGTGTGTTGGCTGACAGGAGGGGTGCACGGGGAGGTTGAACCACTCCTGAGACACACACAAACACACACACACACACAGGCTGCTGACTCTGATTTGAACTGGAAGCCAAAAGTACGATATCCCATCAGGCCCCGGTGTCTTCCCTTTCGACTCCCAGCTCTCAGCCCTTGCCTCCTACCCTCCCCCTTGATCAACCCACGCATACTAAATCCCTCTCTTAATGCAATCGCGCATACTCTCTCTCTTTCTACTACCCAAATAAGACATCTGCTCTTCCACCAGCAGGTAGCTGGCTTGGAGAGGAGCAAGAGCCACCAGGGAGCAGGTTCATGTGAAGGCTACTGGTTCATTCACTGACCACATCCATACTTTCCTCAACCACAGACTTCTTTGTATAGTCCCCAGATTTGAAATGCTTTAGTATATTTTGACGCTGACATAAAAGGACCTGAATAAAAGGAGGAATGCAGTCTGTGCAGATGAGATAAAGAAATGCCAAAGGGCATGTAAGATCATTTAACCCCATAATGAAAGAATGAAACCCAAAATGACAAAATCTGTGATAAATCGAGAAGAGAAACCCAAAAGGAAGCTTCTTTTTCCATTTTTCATGCTTGAATTTGCAATATTATGTAAAAAGGTCGTCAATCGTGACACACTTAATCAATTACCACATCTTAGGTTGAAGGCTCTCTAAGCCTGACACAAAAGATTTTCAGACCTTCCATGTTGAGAAAACCGCCACAACTACCAAGTATTTCGAATATTTACTCTGAAGCTACATTTGTTGTTGTTTAGTGTTTTGGAAGACTTAATGTAGCAAACAAGAATGTCAATAGATTAAAGTTTAAACATCTCAAAGGCCAGATTATTTCCGGTATGAAAGAGTCAGTGCTAAATAAATACAGCCGATGAGTTCTGGATTTAAATGGAGAGCGGTGGCAGGTCACAAAGGTTATGAGGAGTCATGGGACTTATTTTATATGGCAACTGTGGCCGTAATAGCACATAAGGCTTTAATACCTATCAGAGTCTTTTGTTTTGAGCAGCCTGAAACTGTTGTGATTATATATGTGAGACAGCAAATGTGATTGTTCCGCTCCAGCAGACAGGCTGGCATCAGGGCACATGTCCAAGCGGCACCGAGCTGACAGGGCAGCTGATTGACCGACTGTTTAGATGACCGTTTAACTTGCTGGCTGGCTGCATGGCACTGAGTGCTGTTAGCAGAAGGGTTGCTATCATTAAACAGAGTTTTTTTCTGTTTTTTCCTGTCAGCGCAATTTAGCCCTGTGCATTTATCGCTGTTATCATTTGAAAGTGCTGGACAAAGTCATTGTGTGTTTTAAGGAGACCTTTATATAGTACCAAGAAGGGATCTGGGATGTTATTAGTATTGGACACCAAAGACAAGGAAACATAGGTTTGTCAGATGTTATCTAAAGCTTCATATAAAATGTGTGTGTTTATTCAATTTTTTTTATAAAAATGGATATGGCAGATTTTACGTGGAATTATTAGTTGTTTGCTTTATTTGTATTTTTCCACTGGAAAAGATTAGATGGGGAAAATCTGAATGATCCCTTGTAGCAGAAAAGATTTAGGAAAATCCGCGTGGAATCCAGAATTCAACTGGAACCGCTACTACGTCTAGAGTGGAGAAAGATGAATGGCAGAAGGGGAGGATTCGCAGCCCTCTTCCATTACTTTGGCTTTGGAAACGCTTTACTTTAATTATTGCGCACAAGTTTCTTTAGAGGCTGCCTCTCAAGGGCACACTCTGCTCCAGGCCCAGTTGATAGTTGTGCAACTGACAGCGTCCTGGCCTCCTAAAGGAGATTGCCACCGAAGGAGAGGGCGAGGTTTATGCTGGAACAGTGCTGTCAGCTACCATGGCTGCCAGCCTATGTGGACAGGAGACACTTGGGTGGAGGGGTTTAAAATGAGAAACGGTACATCCTCATCATAGGCTGTATTATGGAGTCTATCGTGCACACACACACGCACACAGAGCTTGCCTCATCTTTTCCTGGCTTGTCCTTGCTAATAACTAGCAACGTGACAGGACTTGTGTTTCCTCCTCACTGCTGGGAGCTCCTTCCTGGCTTCTGAACAACCCAATTACCAGGGAACAAGCCTTTTCCCTGTAATACGGATGGCACTCCACTTCAATGTAACGCTTGCGCACAAGCACAGACGCATACTCACAAGACACCTGTCAGGCTTCATGCAGGCAGATTTTCCATACCCACACACAGGAGTGGTGACAGCCCACGGCTATTAGCACGCCACTACTTTGAAGAGGCTTCACTTTCTTTTACTAGTTATTCCTCCTAATGTGCTTGCTCACATTGAATTCTTCGTCTCTGTGTTTGAGGTGTTAAGTGGGAGGAAAAGTGCTTTAGAGACAGGAATAAAGGAATGGATGTGTGAAGCGTGTGTGTGTGTGTGTGGCCAACACAGTGGGGGTTTGATGGATATTGTCAGATTTCATATAAGATGATACAACACCGCAAGGGATTAATTTGCTAATGGCAAGTTTCATGGTACAGTGATACCGATTCCACTCTCTGTACCACTGGGCCTTGTTGCTGTCATTCTACAATAGTCAGTTACTGAGAGATTTAACTTTTTTTGGCAAGAAAAAAAATGGTGACGGTATTTTGAATTTGAAAGGATTTGCAAATGTTTTAGATTTTCACATAAACCCTCTGACCTTGTTCTTTGTCTCCATACAGAACTCAGAACTCCTCAGAGAATGAAACGGGCTTGGAGGAAGAGAATATCCCCAGAGGCCTGAACAGAGTCAACGCAGCAGGTATGGCACATGCACACACACACACACACACACTGCTACTTGAAAGCACAGCTTCACATTTGCAAGGTGCAGACTTTTAATGGACCGATGCACTACAGCAGGTTATCACTGAAAGGGGTCATGATAGCTATGTCATCACTTTGAGTCTAATGAAGAGCACATGATATAGAGAGATTTATTGGCTGGCATCTGGCCTCACTTCCATCCAGTCTGCTGTAATGGCAACTTGGCTGTCAAAGTTGTATACTACCTTGTATGTTTGTAACACAGTTTGGACTTGAGTGCCACCTCCACATCATGTATTCTGTTTGTTTTTTATAGTTGCCATTAAATCCAGGAATGCACAGTTGGTTTTTCCCTTTTGTCTTATTCACAGTTTGTTTTTTCCTAACTTGGATAGAGGTAATATTTATTTATATGCAAAATGTGCCTTAGATCTAGATGTTAAGGATATTAAATGCAACAATTAGGGTAGAGCTACAAATATACAGCGGCTACAGTGGTGCAACTTCCAGTAATTAGAGGCAATGCACTCCGTTTGAACTCTCCAAAGTGTCAGAGCACATATCTCCCTCCTCCACCTGATCAGAAAGGTCCATTGCTGGTATAAAGGAGGGTTGGAGGGGAAAAGAGAGGCTCCAGAGGAGGAAGGGCTAAGGCAGGAGACTCAAGGCTGTTAGCATGTGTTGTTTTTTACTACGTGATCTTTATACTGATGTACTTGGCATTCATTTTTGATGAACCATTGGCACAGCATCCTCCCCTCTCACCCTCTCACCTTGGTTTCCCCCTACTTATTTTTCTCTTACAGGCTCTTTCACGCTCATATGTAAGCTCACTTTCTTGTATTCTGCACATCTTTCCTTTAAAGCATCCGCCTTGCCTTGTGGAACTTCTGTGTCTTTGTCACTGTAGCTGAGAGGGGTTTAGGGAGAAACTTCTCTCTTCCACTTCAGCATTTGCATATTGAAGCTCAGCACAGATATCAATTTTAATAAGCAGACAATGCTCTGTGTGTAGATTGTCCAACACAGAATGCTGAGTTTTATTCCCTAAAATGATCTTGCATTTATCTGCAAATCATCCCGGAGACAAAGAGTTACGCTCAAAGAGTTCATTTATATGTTTATGGATGCATATTTATGTATAGATAGACATATGCAAATGCATACATCAGTCCCTTAAAAATGTTCAAATTGTAAAATAAAAGAAGATATAAATGGTAAACATATATCCGTCTTGATATCAAATGCAAAATAAGCTTGTACACACACAGAGAGTTGGCATGGCTATAATGCTGCTCTGAATTAGACAGGCTGTGGCTAATCCAGTTTCTCCTGAATGCATTAGTTTTTCTGGAGCTTTCAGCTGCATAACTCTGCTTTTCAGCAGATGGAACTTTCAATGCTGTCATGCTGCACCATTGTCTTGTTACCAGGAATTTTTAGACTTCTGGATATGTTGGTATTAAGTTCAAAAGTTTATTCAATAGCAGTTGATGAAACGTTTTCAGCCCCAGGACAAATACAAATGGAATGGCTGACTGTGCATATGCTGTATCTGCAGCTGCATCGTTTTTGTGTTAATGTTTAAACATTTAGACTTGTTATCTTTTCAGAGTTAAAATGCATTTGCACTACACTTTTAGAGTTTGGAAAAGCGTTTTCTTTCTGTTCACATCAGTATATGGGCTAACTTTCACCAGTTATTGATTTGCTCTAAGAGTTGTTTCATGTTTTCAAACCTCCCTGTACAATAAGTTTCAAGCAATATCTACAGGGTATTAATAATCAGTGCAGTGCTGTTTGTCTGCAGAAACATACAAGCCACAGTACATCTTTGTTTACGAGTGTTTCAGCTCAAGTTTTTCTCTCATTACTGCCTGTTGGCAGCGACAAGCATAGACGAGCTCTGCTGCTGCCCACTCTTAATTTTGACAAATTAAATGGAGTTATCCTACAGGCTTTACGAGTGGAATTTTTAAATGATGGTTGTTCACATAAAGGCCAATAAATTATTTTTAGTCTTAGAGAAAACTGCATCAGCTTGGATTTGGGGAATATACCATGCTAATCTTACTCTTAGACTTCGATACAGTCATAATCCTCGAATAGTTTTAAAGGTCTCCAATAACTGACCACAGAATACCTAACACATTCCTCACAAACAGCTTTGTTCCAAGACTCCAGCAGTTTTTTGGTCCGGGGATCTGTGGGCCAAGTGGCACTTTACAGGAGTGTAGCTTGCAGACTGAGGGATATAAAGAGCAACACATACATTTAACTTTTCTATTAAAGGGTGAAACAGTGGATTTATAGAAAAGGACAGGCGGATTTATCCTTTCCGTGCTTGTAAATGCTGAGCATGCAATTACCCCTATAATAGAGGCGTTGTGTCCAAATTGGAGCCATTAAAGTGATTTAACAGTGCATGGATTGGCCCTGGCATTTGTGAGAATGTGTACACATGGGGTGTAGTGGAATGGGTGTTTAATCACAGCATTTTAGTGCCTGGTAATAGCAGAGCAGCCCACGGAGAACACTGACGTGCCACAAAGTACAGCTTACTCATTAGGGACTCTAGTTTGGACTTGACTCCACCTTCTGCTTGGGTGCTGTTGATTCTGAGCTTGGAAATATTGGTTTGTTTAAATGACAAGGATCACTGTAGTTTACTGTCTACTGTTCGTTTCCATGTCCACACGTTCAGTTTTTGTTGGTATGAATGAGGACATGTGAACTGTAATAAATAAGTCTGTGTTTGTATCTTCTCTTAACGGACCAAAATTCTGATGAATATGAATTCTGCTTTTTTTTTTTTTTTAAATCTTATTTAACATTTTCTGCTCCTCATCGTCCAAACTACATTTCGGTGGATTTTAATGTATCTTCTGCATCCTCAAAGACACTTCCTGGAAGAAAGAAATCTTCTGAATGAATAGGATCCATCAGTCTCCAAATTTTGCCCACATGCTTTGAAATGCATAAAACCTTTTTACTCTCTCCTTCACTGCTTCTTCTTTCTTACCCCTCCATTTCCCACCCCCTCTCTTCCTCTCTTTTGCTTTTTTTGCCCCAGTTTTTGCTCCTGTGTGTGCAGGAGAGGTGCCCCAGTACAGGCGTGGCGTCCTGGGGAGAACCAGTAAAGCATTTATTACAGGCTTTGCAGTTCTGTATTATACTGGCAAGCACAGAGCCACTCATGCTTGGCCTTTAACTTCCCTCTGAAGTTCAGCCATACATGAAAAGAGGGGGTTCTGGCCCGCTAATATATTCCTGTTTTTATATTGTATCAAAAAAAGAGGAATGCAGTAAAGATGAGGGAAAGAGGGATGAAAATTGTGGGTTAAAAAATTTAAATGGAATCTTTTGAGTTTTTTCTCCCCACCTCTTTTATACGCTCATAGTTTTTTAATTAAATATCACATGGTAACTCTAGGAATGCCCAGCAGAGCTTTTGAACCAAAGATCTGTGAAAATCCTTTCGGAGCCTTTGTGCATGGGCTGTCTACCATAACTTTCTCTCAAGTAACAATATAGGAACGGACGTAGAGGAGACAAGGCGACTTTCTTACCACTGCTATCATTCATTTGCCATCTGCCCTGATGCTAACTTCGCTGGGCAGAGCTGTAAAGGGAAAATCTGTCTCTTCAAATAAGAAAAAGAGCGAGTCGAATTTGCCCAACTCTTCTGTCATTCTTTTCTTCCTCCTTTTCCCCCTTGAAAGATCACCCCCCTTTCTCATTACTCTCTTTAAATCGCATCCTCATTGGTGGGTCGTACTTTTTTTTTTTTAGGTCAGGATTTTTCTTTTTTTTTCTGTGTGTTTAGGGACACTTCGATGGTGTTTTATTGGTGTGTATGTCATGTGAAAGGGGCAATGGGAAGGACAAGAGGCACACCTTAATTTGGGATTTCTCTCTTGTCTTCCGCCTCTTCTCTCTTTTGGGTGTGCTTGTCCGTTGTATGTGTCCTGGTCGAAGGAGAAACCCTCCTCCACAGAGCTTGCAAGAAGAACCAAGTGGAAACGGTGCTTCATATCCTGACGCTTCCTGGCACAGACGTCAATGTTAAAGGTAAGACTCTCCCGTTTTTTCTTTTTTGTAATGTCTATCGTCATGTGGCTGCACACCCACTGTTTGCTCTTGGGTTCCGAGGAGCTTTTAACAATGAGAAAAAAAGGCGGAAGACATAGGAGTTTCTGTGCGTCATCACTGAACCGTTAAAATATACAGGGTGTGTCTTCGTCATGAGGGGGTTCGAAATATCTGATTTAGAGATTTATTACCACATAACTAAATAGATTATCCACATTTTTTTCCATTTCAATCTACATGTCTTTAGTTCATTTGCCTTCCTTCTAGGGATAAATGCCACACAAAGGTTTCTCTGCAGTTTGCCCTGGTCTAGCAGGGGTTCGTTAAATCCCTACATATGATCAAGCACAACTGAACTTATTGAATTGCTGTAATTTTGCTGTTTCCTTAAAATGAAATCAGGCCTGGGTTGATTGAAACAGAACACAAATTGACGCCGGGTGCATTTGATAAAACACATGTTCATTACTATGTTCTCAAAGTTGATGTTTTAAAATAATAATTCTTGTACAAATCATGACAAGATGGTGCGACTATCGTAACGCTCCCTGGTAATCTCAATTTTATGTACGCAAATGCATACCCAGTCTTAGAGATCTTTAATATACCGTTAATATAATCTCAGTATATGCTGTTCCAGATTTATGGTTTTGAATTGTCTCCTTTGCATGTTTGTTTATATGTGCACGGTTATGATGTAGACCATGCAGGTTGGACACCTATGCATGAGGCGTGCAACCACGGCAGCACTGAGTGTGTGGAAGCTCTGTTACACCACCGCCCGGCCCCTGTCCTCACTGATCAGGTCAGCGGAGTGAGTCCTCTGCATGATGCTCTGCTGAATGGACATATGGACATCGCCAAAATGCTACTGGAACATGCAGGTTGGTGAACTTCACCAGCAGAGTCCTCATGCTTGAAAGAGCAAAATAAGGATTTTATGAGCCAGAACTGAGGCTTTTCAAACATAAATTACTGGAGTATTCATCATCTGAACTTTGATGTACTTTGTTCAGTCTTTAATGGAAATTGTATTTTTAATAATATTCTGAGTGGTTGTGTATATATTTATATGTAGAGAGAGAGAGAGACAGAGAGAGAGAAAAAGGGAGGGCTCTGTATATAGAGGAAACACATATGTACTCATTTACTTTCATAAAAGAGTGTAGAGCAGATGTTTTCCTCAGATTATTTAATTTATCGCTGTATTAATATGTTGAAACTGTCACAGAATTGGTACTTACTTTGGTCAGATAGAAACATCCTCAACTCGCCAGCTCCCAAGAGAGGTAATCTGTGGAAATAACCATTTAGCTAATGACTCACTATAGTGTCACTGATGTCTTTGCTAAGCAAGGCTTTTAGTTAAATATCACCAACAATGAAGCTGGGCTTTCGAACTGATTGAATGCTGTTTGCGACCTTATTAGAAAATCACTGTTTTATCAACCTTAAGCAGCTTCTTGTTAGTGTAAGGAATCTCTTGATTAAGGTGCTTATTAAGGTGCTTTTAAAAGGACACTTAATCCTTCAAATACCTCTTCTTCCCCTCTGCTCAGTGTTCATAACAACATGAAAAACTATTTCTTAATGGAAAATCTCCATTAGAAAACAGCAGTGTGGAGTTTAAAAGATACCTTGTTCTCAAATTGTGAGATGGCGTGGGGTAGCTGTGAACAGATATGGAGGAAAGAAACATGGAATGATTCTGTGTGCTTTCACACTACCAAAACTTGCATCTCCCAACACTTCTGACATGACTCCTTGTGATCTCATATCAGTTACCAGCTTTGCATGCAAGTAAACATGTAGAAATACATTTCAGTCAGTTGTCAGCTCAGTAACAAGCATCAACTACTGATGTTACTTTAAAATCCAAGATACTGTACTCGCTAACAAAACTTCTTTTTCTTTTCATTTGTTTATTTATCTGTTTTCATAGTTCATGGCTAGTTCTCATTTCCTCAAATAAAAGAGGCTTTTTTAATTCTCTGCAGTTTACATTGTGAACCATTCTAAAGGAAAGCCTGAAAGACGGCCAAACAGAGACTCATATTAAACTGTGAGTTTTACTGCAACGCAACAGTTCCAGTGCAACAGTTAGAAAGAAAACGCAAAAAGACGTTTTATGGGAAGGATAGATCCTCGCAATTTAAATACTAACATTTTAGCACCATCGTAATGCACAGACTGGCTTTTAGGATGATAGATGATGTATGGAATTTTTGTTAGTCATGACTGTCTGACTGCGTCAGTCAACTGTTTATCCGTTTCATACTTCTGCATGATGACGTTCAAGAGCCGTTTGGCTTTTCTATCTGAGATAACATCAGCGGAAGGAACATTTACTTTATAGATTATGTAAAATTAACCCTGAAACTAAATACATAAACTGCACTTGTAAATATTTTGTATTTCCTTAGCGGCTGTAACCTGAGCGGGTTAGTGTAACCGGTTCTAAACTCTTTTAGTCAGAAACATTCAGGACATGGCCTAAAGGTGAGTCCCTGGGTCAGTTTCATGGAATCAGCTCAGCCTCTCTTGGTCATAGCGGGTCAGTGAGTGGCCCTTATATGCAGTCTAGGAATGCAGTCTAGGACTGATTTACATTCAGGCTTCTGAGTGAAAATGTTCTATGAATTTCTCTGATCACCTCCAAATGTCATTCGAGCCATTAGACCCAATTACATTTTCACCTTTGCGGTGTCGCTCTAGTGATCACGTCACCCAGAACTCATGATCTAAGACTATTAGTAACCATAAATGGTGTTGATAAAGGAGCCAAACGTCACAATGGTTCTACAAGTGAGACCCAAACCACATTTGTGCCGGCTTCAGCCCTCACTCCGATAAGGCTTCTGTAAATACATTTGAGTTTTGACACACACAGTCAAATGTTGCTTTTCACATTACTTTCACACGCTCCTACATCACATTCGGAGGGCCACCAGAGCTAAAACAAGAGGGAATAATGCTGCTACAAGCAAAAAACTTTTGAGGATAATATATTGTGAACGCATCCTAAAAGAATTTCTAGAAATCTCAACCAATGTGTATTATATAGTGTACTCCCATCCACAAGTGGACTGTCCTTGATTTAGTTATCTAGTGTTTTGGTTTTTTTCTTGTTGCACCTTAAGGTCTTCGTAAAGAGGATTTCTTTTAGAAAACTCCCAGTGTACTCTCACAGGTCTGCAAATCTATATTTGTTCGCTTCTTTACTGAAAAAAACAAGTCAAACTCATGAAGGCCATCTTTTTCTTTCTGCCTCTTCACAGCTTGTCTCCATAATCCACACTCAATCATGCTCTGCAGAGTCCGTCCAAACACATTACAGCACCACCTCCTAACACGTGTGCTGATGTCTTTTTGACGAGATTAAAAGAGTCACGATGGACCTCTTACAAATGTTCTATTTTTTTTCAATTTAAAAAACAAAAACGACTTGCAGGTTTTTTTGTGGAAACGTGTCACTGCAGAGGCAGAGTTTTGTTTCCGCATGTTTGCATGCCACATGCAGTCAGAGCTCAGACGGGTTGAAGCGAGCATGACGGCTGTCAGTGCTCACGAGAGGGTGGCGTTGCTGGCTGCATGGTAGCAGGTGGCAGAGGACGGGTGTGTGTGTGTGTGTGTGTGTGTGTGGTGTGTATTTTTGGGGTAGTGTGGGGAGGAGTGCTATTTGCCAACGATGAGCGAGCCTCCCTTGTAACATACCTCTGCCACAGCACACTTTTCAGTTTGACTAATTATAGCTAATTTGATTTGACTATCCCATTAACACATGTACATATTCTGTCCTCAAAAAATAAATTAGACTGGGATTGTTTAGTCCCGGAGAGGAAACAAGAGAGCACTTCCCTTCTTTCTTTTTTTTTGCCATCATTTCTCACTTAGTGAGGAGAGAGAAAATTAAAAGAGGTCAGATGAAGCAGCTATCTGTATCTGTAAAATTAAATGAGTAAGGGGGTGAATGAGTGTGAATGAGTGTGTGTGTGCGTATGTGTGCCCAACAGACGTCTGGCTCACTGTCTAGGCCAGGTCTTTTTGCAGGGAACGAGCACAGCAGTAGCAGTGGGAGTTTTCTTTGAGTGAGAAGCACCTGCAGGCTTGTACATTATCTTTCCTTTTCTCGCTTGCTCTCCACTGACTGTTTGCTATTTCCTCCCACCTCGATGGTGAGTTGTCTAAAGGCTACAGCAGGGAGTTGGTGAGGAGGTGGTCCTCTTGACTCCAGGCTATACTGTCTTTTATGGTCTCTTTTCCATGATCCCTTTGGTTGCCATGGACACCATCGATAAGGCCACTCTTTTTCCCCTCCCCTTTGAGATCTTTAAGTCTGGTTATGTTGTTGCTCACTCCAGTTTTTACTTTAAACTCAAGCCGCACTTTTTTGCTTGTGGCTGCATTTCTAACATCCATACATCAGGCTTCTTTTTAACTTTTGGCCAAGAAGCCTTGCTGTGCTGTCCCATGGTAGGAAACCAGGCTAGTGGGGCAGATGCATTTCCATTCCTCTGTCTCGTTATTTATTTTATTCCTGCATGTTTTATTCTTGTAAGGACCAGCTGCATTTCCTGAAACTATATTTCTCATCGAGACATTTGCCCTGTTGTCCTAGTTGTTTCCAGCAGACAAAATGAACCTAGCTGCCAAGGTTTAGGCCGGCCAGAGAGGGCAACACTGACACTGGCACACAAACAAAGCCTTTAGTTGGGAGTGATCTCATCCTTTGTAAGCCTGTCTGCTTGGAGGCCTGTGCTCCATAAGTGAGTGTGTATGTGTGCATTTTTATTGGTGAATTGTATGGGGGATGGAATGGATAGAAACCCCCCCCGCCCCCACTACCTCAGTCCCTCAAGGCTTATGAAGCTGGCAATGAAAGGATGCCACTGCTGAGGGCAAGGCTGACTCTGCTCTCTTCCCTTATTTCTCCCATTGCCCAAGGCTGCCCCATATGACCCCTCGTCTACGTGTTTGGCTTGTTTTTTTGCTCAAAACTGAGGTGTCCTTGGCTATGGATTTTTGCTGTATGCATGCAAAAATATTCCTGAATCTCAATCCCTGTAATGATTATACTGTGGCTCGCTATCTGTGTGCTGGAGTTCCCTGTGCCCCGTCTTTCCTGAGCTGGTGGAAACATTAGAATGTTGCTGTGTGGCCAAGGCAACCGTTGTTTCTTTTCGGAGTGGAAAAAGACCCAGAGCCTTTAGCTGTGTGGCTCCGACCTGGCACTCAGAGAAGGCGTGTCAGTTAGCAAAGAGGGTGGAGAAATGAAGAAAAGAGCCTTTAAGGTGTCACCATCCAGACTCGTGACGGTAATCACTGATGCCCGACTCTCAATGCTTTTCACCTTGTTAGTAAGCACAGCTCGTCCGTCTCAAGTTGTAAATGGATATCTCTTTTTTTCCTGCGTTTTCTCTTCACTTTACCGTCTTCGCTTTTTCTTTTGTTTTGAGTCAAGTTCAGAGAAGGGAGCAGTTGCCCTGGACTGCCCCAATTTCCTTTTTTTATTCGCTCAAGTAAATACACTTGCTTAATGCACCGGGTCCCTTGGTCCCCACAGATCTCCATGTGAACAAGTGTTTGTGGAGCAGAGAGATGTCATTTGCTCAGTAGCACAGGAAACACACAGTCCCCTCGGACCGCTGTAGTCAATCACCGTGTGTCTGTGTCTCTTTCTCTATCTCCGTCATAGATAGACATGCACACTCAGGTAGAGGTTTAGATACACTTGGGCCTTTGCTGTCAACAGGGTGAAGGAGTAAGGAAAGTTCATCCTGCTCGGCGCTCATTTCCCTGTGGGTCCTGAACTGGCAACTGCAAGGAGCTCAGCGCTCGCGCTATTAGCGCTGAGGCTATGTTTGGAGCCCTGGGCTTCACTCGG